AGTGTGATTTTCGTTTCAAAAACATTCAGTAGCAAAGATATAGAGAATAATAGATGGGCGCGCGTACATATGGAATTTCTCTTCTAGTGTTCAACACGAGTGTTCAACACGATGTCGAGTTGATCACGAGAAATTCCATATCTACAAGCAACCATATAGTATTTTGTTTATCATATAAACGCAATAGCCCTTCACTGACAAGAAAAGTCGATTTTATTAACGAAAGAAAATAAAAGGATTGACAATCCCACTAAAAATTGTAAAGTGCCTTGCAAAACAAAAATGGGCTTAATTTTAATTATACAAAATTCTCAGTTACTGACTTAGTCCTTTGCGACAGAAGAAATGTTTCAGGAACAGAGCCAAAAGCGGCCTATGGCAAATGGTCGTTCTCAGCCGCGAGAAATACTATTATTAAAGTCACTGAATACGTAACTTTCGGTTTTTCTCTTCGTAATTTGGTTTTCCCCTTCTAGGAAAGTCTGAACGTCACTGTCTCAATGTTTTAGCAGCCGTGATACTTTTTCGAGAAAATTCCGACAAACATCCACGGATTGAGAGTGGTGAAGGCTTTGCTGTTCATTCATCAACCTGACCAAGTGGCGCAAAAGGCGAGTGACCTGTCAGCAGCTGATTGGCGATATCAAACACACGTGTAAAAATATTTCAATTTTTTAGGGCTGGAAATCCTTGTACAACACCGTAGATTACATGATAAAGCAAATTTATGTAGTTGTGCAGAAATGCTGTGCGGTGGTAAATCAATTGGCAACAGCTGGTGGCATAAAATCGCAGCAGGATTCCCGCGCAGTCTAAATTAAGAAAATTTCTTCTCTTTGTGATCAATAGTATGGATAAAGTTCTGTAAAATAGTGTTCTTTGCTAAGAAGTAGGAGGTAGTTGGCATCAGACATAACATGCAAGCCAGAACAATGGTCTCTTTTCTCGGGTTTTTTTTTTCTTGAGCTTGCACATTCTGTTATCTAAGCAATAGACGGCCCAGGTGGGTTGTTACGTTGGCAAACCGATGGAAAGTGCGGTCTATTGCTTTTAAGAAATAAAATAAAAATGTTTAAATTTTCTTTGGGTTTACCAACGCAATTAACGATAGGTTTTTGACTAATCAGGGCGCTGTTGGTATCTCTGTTATTTCAAAACTAACCATAATCTATCTTTTGTCTATTGTGCTGCCCCGCTACAAGCTGATCTACCACAACGGCTATCTCCCGGGGTGGGGAAGTGTAAATGGGTTAACACTTCAGTGCCCTTCATGGAATTCTCGATATTTAAAAAATCACACTATATGCTGACTGTAAAGTGTTAATGAAATTTCCTTCCTTTCTCTAGGCATTTTATTATTTCGTTATCTCTGTTGCGTTTCCTTTTTCCTTTCAAAGCTGATCATTCTCTCACTCTTCAGCACGAAAATAAACATCTCTTCTGCTATTGTTTTTTGCTGTTCTCACTCTGTTAAAAAACAACAACAACAAAATCGAGTCGGTTTCAATGCAGCATACTCGGTTTAAGTGTTTAAAAAAGATCAGAGATTGATGTAAGTGATTTATAGGGGAATTAATTCTTTTGCTGAACATGTAATAACAATCTCTTTAAATTCCTATTAAATTGTCGTGTCAGCTTCACCCGACTTTGGTCCCGTAAATATATGAATAAAAGTTGTCCAGGGTTAGAAGGACACCCTCCAGCCTCCTAATCCTAACCTCCAAGATATCCTTCTATCCACAAAAAGTCCTGTTACTGGTTATGAGGCACTATGGTACTATTATCAATTGTTATTGATTTTCTTTATTATTATTATTAATATTATTATTAATTATTATTAGAAATAGATAAGGGTCAAGCAGGGCCTCCCTAGACTCAACAGCTATATATATATATTTAGGGTTTTTTTTTAAACTGAAATTTTTGAATTTTAGAGGCCGGGAACATGTCTTTTTTTTAACAGGAAAAATAGTTCAACTGTTTAGATAACACTAGCTAAATCTTCTACCTCGTGTTGTACATCGATAGGGAAGTCAGACCCTGGCGGATTAGCGTGAAGTCTTTTACTTAAACTGTAAGAAAGTAAGAAACACATATTTAATGATGTAAAATTGTTGCTTTTATTTGAGTTCGTCTTTTTAACAGAATGTATTTTTGTAAATATTGTTTGTAAATGAGTAAATAAATGATTACTATTATTTAATTAATATTATTATTATTATTATTATTATCGTTATGATCATTATCATTATTGATACTTCTGTTTCATAATTTCTACATCAAAACATTTCTGACTTTTGATTTTAACCAAGCCTCCATAACGGAACTTAGATTGCTTGCAATACTCTATTCCGCCAGTAACATTACACTAAGGTTTAGCGACAATAACAGATATTACAGCTCTTACATTGTACTTTGGTCTCAGCCACTTCAATAACGTAGGCAATATTTGCTATGCTTACATTACAATACTTACAATTCAATACTTTAATAAATACAAAAGTCTCAATACAATTACCCTTAATTTATGACAACAATGACAGATATTACAGTAATTACCCTTTAGACTTAAATTTCATCCCTAATATAAAACAATGTAGGCTGGAAATAATTTATAACTAATAAACATAACACACGAATTGTACCACTTTCCTTACGCTTTGCCTTACTTTGTCTTTGCTCGGCGTTATGACAAAATATTTGCCATTGGTGAGCCGCAGTCATTGAGGGCTATAAACTGTATTTCGCTTGCCATATAGTGCGCAGCGGTGACAGAAGCAGGGATTAGAAGAAGGGAAAAAAACCGGGCTAAATCTGAAAATAACCAAGTAGCGATTTATTTACAGCGATGTTTTCAAGAAGTTCGATTTATCATCATTATTTTTATTTTTTAGGTTCTATTCAATTTAATTCAATTCAGATTATTGATACTAGCATATTTACAGCTTGACATCTACTGCTCGCAAATAGCAACAGCTAGTCGAGGAAAGCAAAAAAATTTACAGTAACTGATTACAGAAAATAGTTAAATGTACACTTGATAGTTACAATACTAAGATGAAAAATTACAATACTGAAATGGAGAGAATAGTTTCTATAAAAGAAAGAAAAACAAAAATCCAAGCAACAACAAATAAATAAGTTAAAAAGTTAAATAGCCTTACGCAACGGGAAAAAAAGAATATATGTCGGCAAATACAAATATAATTAAGCTGAGTCGTTTCCATGACATTTTCGTTATCAGATCAGTTAACTTAATGCAGTTGTCTGCTTTGGTCAATGTTTGAAGTAAGACGTTGTGAAGTTTAGCTTTAAGTTCCTGTTTCGATAAATTATGTAATTTATCAGTTAAGCTGTTCCAAATTCACACGCCATATCTAGAAAAATATTATTTTGCGAGTTCAATCGATGTATCGTTTTTGGGATGCACATATAGGTTTGTTCACTACGTTCTCTTCGGTCTTCTTCACTTTTCTTCGATGGCTCGACGCAGCCAAATGAGCTAGAGTGATCCTTTCTGTAGTGAACATAGAGAGACTGAACGCGGAGGTTCGATTCTCTTTGTGTCGTTTCCCCTACAAGCAAAAGTCGTTTCTGACTGTCCGGCACTGTTTAGTTTTTGGAAGTCTTCCACTTCAATTTATTTGTTAACGATACGTGAATAAAGTTAGAGATTAACTGATGTTTCTGTCAACTTAATGAATTTTGCTAGTCACTGTTCAGCTGCAAATATTTACCAACAAACTATTAAAAAAAAAAGAAATATTCTAGAACTGGCGAAACTAGTTTCAGAATATTTAATAAGCTAAACACCAGTGCTTACTCAGTCAACACTGGAACTCTTTAAATTAAAGGCATTTTCCCCGCCTCAAAATGGCTCAAAATATATATCGTTACCCAGATCCGGCCTAAAAAAATAGCTTACATTCCTAGTCAAAGGAAAAGTCCATGTTGTTCTTTTGTCTCGGTGTAGCCTATAATAATATTCATTTTGCTTGTTGTCAAAGAAATGATATTCCCAACGTGCCTTTTCCCGTTTCTCGCTCAGATTTTTAACGTATCGGGAAACATTTTTTTCCAGAAATAGTTGTGTTCCTACAGAGGGGTAACAAACATTTTGTAGCAGAAAACTATCATTATTGACACACTATCTCGTGCACGTAAAAATTTTGAGAATAATGATTTCGTGAATTAAACAGTGCTGTTGCTTGGAATAGTCAGTACTGAGGTTATGTTGAGCTTTATGTTTTGCTTCACTGGCTCGTGCATATACATGTCAAGAGCTTCTTCGCAGGAGTCAGTTTTTTTTTTTTACATTGAATATTAAACTTCAAACATGCTAGTCGACTGCATGTTGGAGCCAGAGTTTTGAGTGAGTTCACAGAGGAAGAATGACTGAAAGAAATCACCTTTTTTTTCCTAACTTCGAGAAATGGTAGAACTGCAAATCATAATTTAGATGAATTGTAGGATAAATAGATAGATTCTGGTCTGGATGTGAAATTAGCTGTGGTTCAAGACTACGCGTATGGATACCCAATGGATTTTTTCGTTGTTCGTGGACTACTCGTAAGCCGGGGAAGTTTCGAATGACAGTTTCGTATCTCCCGATCGGATTCCCTAAGAGCCGAAAGTGTCCGCTTTAGCTCAGGATTTTGTAGTTCATTTTGTTGTTCAACTCGTACAGGAAACAGTTTGGTGACATTCTCTTAGTCTCATCCTTTAAGCATAAAATTTTGCATATCTAATAAAAATTTCCTAACTGCAACCATTGACCTACTGTAGTATTACAGGCTATTAGACTTGGAATATTCCTCTTATTGCGGGGGTATTTCTTCCAACTACTCAGCACATCTTGTAACTACATAGTGCAGAAGGTGAAACTTTATTTAATACACATTGAGGTTTGAAAAATGAACGTCAAGTGTAGTTTTTTCACTTCCTCTAGCTGCGGCAGGGTAAGACGGAAGTCGTTACATATCACGTGATCTGTAGGGACCTTTGAAGGATTGCGATATTATTGTGTGACAAGCAGATTTTTTCACGACGAGAAGATGGCGGATGCCTCAAACGATTGTGGGGCAGATGAACCCGACATACAGGCAACCCGGAAGAGATTTGAAGTATTAGACAAAAAGTATAGACATTTAAAAGGGTTATCTCAAAGAGGTTGGTTGTTAATTCCACTGGGCTCAACTGGACAAGCATTTGATGCCTACTGTTTCGGTATTTAATTTGTTCAGCTGCATATTTCGAGTGGTTGATCAAGTTATTGTCTCCCTTTTTAGCGGTTATTGAATTCGAAGCACTGCAAGAAAAATGTCAGGATTACTATGAAAAGGTGAGTGTATTATTTTGTATTTGCTTTTCGTCTTGTTGGGCAAACTCCAGCTGATTCCTGATGAATTGAAGAAACCCTACATTTTAATTTAAACCAAAACATCGCGAGTTTTAATTAATCTCAAAGAATTTCCTTTTTCCTAATATTTCAGTACAAGGAACAAGAAGGAAAATATTTAAAAATCAAAGGGGATCTAGAGAAATTGAAAGAAGGTAGGAACCCTCATGTAGAAAATCATCAATCTTTCTTTAAGTCGTATCATCGTACTTGATCAATAATTACATGAAAAACCCCAGGAGACGATATAATCACAGACGAAGTCGAAGACGTTTTTCCCTCAACGCAAATGCTGAAAGCACATAATTATCATAAGAATTATTGTGTAGCAGCTTTGTGTTCTTTTTGATTTTGAACTGTTGGATGTTTCGTTGACTTAAACAAGGCACTTAAAGTAAAAAAAATAATGAAAGAAAGATGTTGTTATTGTGTAATTTGAGTTAGGTCTGGGAATTCGCTCTGAATGCTTCAGTTTACCATGACGAACAATTCTTTTAGTCGACTAGATTAATCGTTTCGTATGTTATTTCTTGTCGTTCCTCTAACCCAATATATTAGCCTACACAAATGCAAATAGTGAGGGTTAATTGTTTCGGTGCTTATGAAAACTTTTTCTTTGTTATTTTTCTTTCGAAACTCAGTCACGATGTAATTACACGCTTATTATTTAAAGTCATCTTTGATTTAAATTCAATATTTCCCCTTTTTTTTTCATTTCCACCTACTATTACATGCAATTCGAAATTAAAAAGCGGTACTCGATATCTTCATACTAAAATTAAATTCCAATCCCTATTTATTTCTTTGACGTGGTTTCAATATCACAAAGCGGAAGAACAGGAAGTCATGACATAACTATGTGGATTTATCTCTGACTACCTATTTTTTTGTCTTCGTTAAAATAATCTTTCTTGGCAGTGGAATTTATGATGTCAAAGGTTTTGTTTCAGAATGTTCTTAAGGTTACAAGGAAGAATCTTTAAACAGTAACTAAGGCCTTAAATTACTGCTATTATAATGATATTATTTCATCAGTGATCTTGTCAGTGGGTGTTGTGGTTATGGTGAACAAATATTATTCTTTCAGAATCAGGATGAAGGGGCAATGATGGTGTATTTTTGTTGTGGGGATCCAAAATGTGTTGATATTTAGTCTGTGAATGTCAGAGTGCAACTAACCCCAAAACAAAGTGCAACTTACCCCAACATATATTTTTTTGTTTTGATGGTAGAATTTTTCTTGTGAGTCTTTGCCACCTCTTCCTGAAACGTTTTTTCAGTGGTGTTTTTTTTTTGTATTTTGTTAGCTTCTCAAAGCTTAAAAATTTTGCAGCTGATAACTGTTAGCTGCCACCATGAAGAATATAATGGGTCTTCCACTCTTTGAGTGTACTTATGATGTCATGGGTGTAGACTGAAGCTTACAAGGAGTTAGTCAAACTAATCTCTATCACTTCTTCACAAATGATCATAAAATGACAAAGTATTCTAGTTAGAAGTTGCTTTGTAGTCACATGCTTTATTATGCACTGTAAATCCACCACTTTTATGACATCATAGCAGTGGCCAGAGAAGTTCAAACTTAACATTAATGTAGTTGCACTATAATAGTTTGAAAAATTGAAATTATGTTACTGCTTGGTCAACAAATCCTGGTATTGATTGCCCAATGTCTTTGTTACTGTCTTTTACTACTCAGTTTTCTACAGTAAGTAACCAGATGTGTAGAGACATGTAGTGAAATGTTATTAAAATGTGTCAAACACAATTAGCATGGCATAGTCAAGTATCAATTTTATTATGTTAAGGCTGTTAACTCTTTTTCTTGTTTTCTTGTTTTTTCCTTTTTTAAATTTTTGTTTTAATTGAACAGTTTCTAATCTTGCCTTGGCTGAGTATGAGAATTTACATGGCAAATATGAAGTGGAGCAGAACTGTAGAAACAAGGCTGAGGAGTTTGCTACAAATGTAAGGCTCTTATGGCATTTGTTCAATGGTAGAATTATTCTTTAATAAGTTTTTTTCCAACTAGTGAATTAATCTTCTCTTGGAGACGCAAACTAGAGCTCTTCTTTACTTACTAACACATAATTTTTCAAGCAAGATTAACATTGAAGTTTTCCTTTTGCAACAGTAATGTGATTTTGGCTGATTTTGTTTCACTTTTCTCAATGTGTCTCTTTATTTCTTTACAATATAATATTTAAAAGTAAAATGCATATACATTTATTTTAACTGATCTTACTAGCCTGTAGCCATTTCTACCCAGTGGTAAGCACAACATCATGGCTCTAGCCAAGGCTTACATTTAAAATTCTTGATTTGAAGTCTTTTCTTACTTACCACGAACTTTAACCCTTTTCATTCCCAAGAACTCAACAGTAATTCTTCTTACTCTCTGTTATACAATTCCTATAATGTTACTTTGGAGAGTTTGGTGTTAGATCAACTTATAATTCCCTAATTGATAATTTTTTGTTCTCATCACCTCTCTGCTTGATATTGTATTGATATTTTAAGGAGAAATTCTGTCTTGGTCATTCATGGGAGTTTAAGGGTTAATAGAGAATAGCTCATTTCTGTTGTTCTCTTTCACCCAAATTATTTTCGTGAGTGCTTTCTAGGGATCCATAAGTCCAGTATGAGCTGGTAGTTACTGAAATGTACAATTTGATACCACAGATGGTTCAGGAAAACAAGAAACTCAAGCGTCAGAGCCAACTACTCCTCTCACAAGTCGGTGAGCAGGTGAACCTTGTAAGTGGACTATTGACTGAAATTATTGATATATAGCATAGCCAACTTTTGTCACAATTGTTTATGAATGTTTGTTTCGCCTCTTTAATGTTGATAATGAGTGAGCTCACTTATATACATCATGAAAAAAAAAATTTCAGAGGGGACCAGGTTGTATCAAAAAAGACTGAGAGGTGTTTAAAGGGTGCTTTGATGTGGTATATACAGCTGTCTCTGTTTCATTTTAACTTTGAACTTTTGAGAACAAACCTTTAATTTACCTCATCATTTCTCAAGGACCATCACTAGTTGGCTTGTAATTTATGATAATTGTGATTTCAAATTCTGTAAGAAATGTTTGACTGTTGTAAATTGAAAAGAAAGAAGTTTCATTTTAGCTGGGTCAATACAGTCGGATATAGGGATGATATCCATACTAACTTGGAAAAGTGAGAAGAAGTTTTGCTGCAGCTTGAGCCTACTGTTGGTTAAAATCTGTGTGATGCAGTTCAGTTTGTAGTAACCATATTTCCTTGGAAGAAATGTTTGATAGATACAATTATTAGGATACCCTTCAATTGGGGGGAGGGCAAACCTGTGGTGTAATGGCCATTTCTGCTAGAAATTTGTTATTCTTGGTGAAAATATTGTGGTGTGTATACAGTCTTGACAACAAAAAAATTTTAAAAATTTAACTTGACCCAATTGTTTACTTTACATTGGAAAGCCAGCAAATAATGTGGTAAGGAAACTTACATGGATGACATGAAAGAATGACCAGCCTGGCCAATAAGTATTCTAAAACTCTGAAAACTGGAAGTATTACTGGTAATTCTTTGGGGCTCCATTGTTGGAGCACAGATACTAAATCAATCAACCAGTTAATCAACCGCTAATATTATTGAATGATTAAGAACTATTTTTTCTATGAAATCCTTCCACAACAGGAGGAGATTTCTTCAGTTTCAACTGATGATCAACCTTTGAGTGTCGATGCAGTTTTCCAAGAAGAATTAAAAGGTGTGTTAACTAGCCTGTCAATACCCAGAAAGTTTAAATACAATAATTACCTGCATAAATGAACCCCTGATTTTCCAGACCAGACTGATGTGCTTCTTCCATATCAGTTGCCTAAGTGTGTAATCAGCCTGACCTTGTTAAGTGGTTCTTAACTTTTTTTCTGAGAATAATATGTGGTACAGATAATTCAGAGGACTAATTACTTCAATTAAACCAGTTATAAAACTAAGCTTTTGCATGAATGATGCATATTATGATGTCTACATTGTTTGATCCCACCCTGAAAAGAGAGGGGTAACTTTTTAACTAAATGAGGTGCTGAACTAGATGCAAGAGAGAGGGAGCATTTTTGGTGATGTGCAACACATAAACATGCAGTTTTACATGCTCCTGTGAATCAAGTCATTTGCTCTTTCTCAACAACAATTGTAATACTGGAATATGTACAACTTCAATTAGCAATAACATGAAGTATTCCAATTTTTATTCTCTTGTTAGAACTAAAACTGATGGTGGAGTCCTTAAGAAAAGAGGTGAAAAGTACCCAAGAGGAACTGACTACAACACAAAATCAGGTGAGATACTTTGTTGTCAATTTTGTAACTAGGAAGTAAATAACTTCAATGAGAAGAAAAAAACTTTACATTACTAAGTTTACAAAGTAAGTCTATTAGCAGACTGCTTACATGGTCATTCATTGTGGTGACTTCATTAGTAATGTAGTATTTACATTTGTCTCAATATACAGTCTTTTTATTACTGTTGAAAACTAACCAATCACAGTGGAGTATAATACATCAGGTGAAAAACATTGTCTTAATAAGACTGCAAGTATGCAGTGGAAATATTGCATACCACTTAAGAATGACTACATCATGAGACAAACAGTAATTTGGTACTAAAATTTAGACTTTTCAGACAGAGAGTCAAGGTACCATCTCTGACACACCTCTTCTATACTGATGTATAGTAATTTTGACATTCATTTTTAGTTAAACAGTGAAAGGCAGTCCCATGAGGTTACAAAGAAGAGGTTAATGTCAAATGAAAAACAGTTCAAGCAACTAAACAGAGGTGAGTCCCTCTTTCTTCAGCTGTTTTGGGAGTTGACATGTATAGGATAAAAGGAATGAAAGGAAAAGAAGGTGACAAGTTCTTTGTACTTCAAGTTAACCTGGTGAAGTAAATACCATCAGAGGTACCAGGTATTTGAACAACAACAATACCAAATCTTTCATTGCGCACAAAGAGATGTATTACAATGAAATACTAAGGAAATCATCTATGATCAACATACGATTTTAAAGAGCAGGGTTTAGTCATTACTAGAGGACCCAAGAGCCCAAGGGCCAGAGGAACTGTGAGGTTTTCAAGCAAACCTCTACCCATTTAAAGTCAGTTTTTTTTTTGTGAAAAAGAATAGTATGAGAGAAAGAAACCAGACGTTGTTGATAATGTAGTATTACTATGTAAGACAGATACTGCTGATAATTTTTATTCAAGTTACTTATGATATTGGATCCCTAACATTTTTTTGCTACAAATTATCTTTCTTTGATTAGCCTTTTGCTCAAAACAGGATTCGTTTTTTTGTTGCCAGCACTTTGTGCCTTGTAGGTTATAGAGATATTTTATAATTCTTTACATTGAAGCTAACCCTTTAGAACTATAAGCTTATCGCATTTGACTTCAACTGACACTGTAAATATAAAGAAAATGCAAACACATGTTTGGTGAAGTGGTGACCGTATGTCCTTTGGTTGCAAGATTTAAAAGAAACAAACGAAAAATGTGATGATCTCAAACGGAAAGAAATCTTCAGTAAGGTTTCTTATTCGTATTTCAGTTTCTGTACTGGCTCTTGAGGAATACAACACTTTGCAACAAAGATACGCTCTTGAAACACAGTGTCGTGTTGAAGCTGAAAAGTACGCTGCTGAGGTTGGTAACTTGTCCGATGGGGAGAGGGGGGTCCTAAGGACAGCTTTTGCTGGGTTTGGGTCGATGGTCTCTCTGAAGCCCTATTCCATTACAATCTATTCTTTGGCCGATTATGGACCTCACCTTAGTCACTTTTGGTATGCAGTGACAGCTTCTTAAATTTCTACTTACCAGAAATTTCTTACCCCAAAATCCTGAAAATGCGTGACTCCATTCTAGTAACTCTATTGAAAATGCAATCCCATCCAGCAGCACATCCCCTTTAGCCTAATACTAGAAAATACCACCCCCCTTACCCTCAGGTAACTTGTTCACAGGACCCACGCACTTTTCGCAAAGAGTAAGGAACTTTTCTAAAAAAAATTCACAGCAGGGGGCACCTGCACGATTTCCTTTCAAAAAGTGTAAAGTGTTTAATGCAGCCTAGCCAAAGTTCCCCACGACGTATTGTAAAGCGCGCTAGAGCATATTAATATGAAAATGAATCATCATCATGTTCTATTATCAGTTTGTAGGTTTGAGATATTAAGACAGCAAAAGTTTGTCTTTCAGCAGGAATGTATTTAGGACACATAAAGAGAAGATTTCACTTCCTAATATTAGTGCACCTTGTCAAACACTAATTACCATGCAAAAGTGAGATTTAATTTTTTTTTCAAACTTCGTTAGGTGTTAAGAGAAAAAGATGTTTTGGATCAGCAAAGGAAGTACATCTCTGAAACAACTAGCAAAGATGAACAACTCAAGAAAGCTCTTGAGGAGATCACCTCACTAAACAAGAAACTTGCTGACGAAAGAACAGAAGCGGAGGAGAAGGTAAGGAAATTTTTATATTTCATTATTTCTAGTCAGTGCTTGTTACTAATCTTTTAGCGGTCGCTCATAATGATCATTGCATCCTGCTTTTGCAGATAAAGGAACTTCTTGAAGACATGAAGGCCTCGAAGGACGAAGAATATATCAGTGGTATGTAATTCCGGAAAAGAAAATGAGGTGAAAATTCCAGCAAATCTATTTACAGAAGACGTCGGTCAATACCATAATTTCTTACTAAGATGTCGCGGCTTTGCTGAACTAAAGAGTGGTAGAGGTGACTTTATCTGTAAAATTAGTGAACGCGTCGACGTTCAATTTTTTTAAGGAAAGTCTCGCCGTGGTTTCGAATGGCCTGTAAGTAATGAATGATCTCTATTTATAGCGTGGACATTAAAACATGCCCTTTAGTGTCGCCTCTAGTGTCTCAGTCAGTCCATGTGATGATGCTGTTGTTTTATTGGTTATAGTTACTGAGGAGAAACTTCACGTGGCTGAGGAGCATATCGAGTCCTTGGAACAACAACTGGCAGACACCGAGAAGAAAGTCACTGAGGCAAATCAGAAAGGTAACGGACTTCAATGCTTTTTTTTTCAGTTATTTTTACCGAAGATTCTGTCTTCCATGCCATTACATGGTAATGAGCTCACTTAAAAAGCAGTTTGGTGGGTTATTATTCAAGTTAGCGACAGAGCATGAAAAGCAGAACTGGTCAAGTATTGAGAACATTGTGCGGCATGGCGCTCGCAGCGGTCAAGTCCCAAGGCTGGAAAAAGAGTAGGAATAGGCTTTTCTCATTTTTTTGACCTACAGCCTAGGATCTTTCTTGGATGCCTTGAGGTATCTGACATATTTATAGGCGTTTCGGATCTGACCATCTGTTATCCACGTAACTCTGAGTAATTATTATATGACTTAGTAACATAAATGTGTGTATTTGTCTTATCTTTGGATTTTATTATTACGTCAAGGCTAGCCTAGAAGTTGAGGTTTAAACTTTCATGTGTTTATCATGGGAATTTTATAGAGGACTTATGGATCATTTTAGGGAGCTGAAACACAAATATAGTAATTTCATCCCTGCCGTGAAAAAAGCATTATCTCATTTTGCGTTCAACGAAAGTCAACGCGCTTCACTCTCTCTGACTATGGGATATTTTGTCTTGTTAGTGTCTGAACTGGAAAAAAGCTTAGAGGAAGCAAAGAAGCAGGCTGCTGCCACACCCCCGTCTCCAGTGGCTACCCCACCACCACCACCACCCCCTCCACCACCCCCTCCACCTCCTCCCACACAGCTTATCAAGTAAGTTTAAATAAAATGTTCTGCGACGTACGTATTTTAGTTGGGAGTTACGTAACTGCTTTGATAACCTTTTTTTCGAGGGACTTTGGTTACCCAATAGTTTCCTGTTGGAAGGGGTTTTGAAAGTGACTTATATGGTAAACGCCGTCGGAGGAGAAGCTGACATTTTATTTGTCTTGCCGCGAGCAATTCTAATTCGTTTGAGTTTAATGTATCATTATTAATTAGCCTTCTAATATGCATAAGAACAGCACTGTCAATAACTGTTCAATAACTGCATGCTTTTTGAAATTTAGGAAGTTCATGAACATTGTGGGAGCAAAAAAGAGGTCTTCCCTAAAACGGAACAAAGGTAAGAAAAAATGAATTAAATAAAATTGTTTTCAGTTATTCTCAGTACTTGCACCCAGTCTACATCCAAATCATGTGGTCGGTTGGTCGCTTAGCTGGCCAGTTTGTTGAAAGGTTGGTCAGTCAGCTGCTTGGTGGGAACACTGCTGACCGCTGTGTTGGCGCGCGGCAGGCCACAACTGATCCCCTCGTACATGCCCAAAGTTTGACCGCTGATTTGGTTGGTTAATCAGGTGTTCAGCTGGTCGGTTGCTTGCGGGAAGGGTGGTTGCTCGGTGATTTGGTTGATCGGTCCGTTGGTCCGTCGGTCCGTTGATCGGTCAGTGAGTTGGTAAGTTGGTCGTTTGGTTGGTTGCTCGTTCTATCAATCGATTGGTCGATTGGTGAGTCACTGGATTGGTTGGTCGGTTAGTTGATCACACAGCGGTCAACGTCTGCGTATGTGCGGTCAATGTATTGAATTAGTGGCGTGCTTTCAGACTTTCAGAACAAATCTTTCTCGATCACGCAAGTTACAAAGACTGACCAAACAAGCTAGTAAGAAACGGTGTTTTTCCTTTTTCGGTAAACTCAGAACAGAATGGCAAATCACCACGATACCCGTACTTGAATGAGCTTTGTACTTGAAAAATATCAAGCTTTCCTTTGCTTTACTTTTGTTTCCTACAGATTTCTATAAATGGTTCAATTATATTTAGCTTATCTACGAGACAGCAGTTGTTTCTTATCTTTCCATTGATATTTTGCGCGGGAAATTGGCGCGTGGGCGGCAAAAATTGTTACCTCGCCTATGCCTGACGCGTGACCGTTGTGTTGTGTCCTTTGTAGCCGGCTGGTTGATCGGTCAGTAGGTCAGTTAGTTGATGTTTTGGTTATTCAGTTGGTCGGACCATCAACTGGTTTATTGATTTGTCAGTTGTTTATCTGGTTAGTTGTGTGGTCGGTCGGAGAGTCATTTCATCTGTCAGTTGATGAGTTGATCAGTCGGCCTGTTAGTTGGTTTGTCAGTTGGTTGGCGGGAGCATAGATTGTAACTTGTTTTAATTATGATGAAAAATTTGTTTTCCCAGCTCCTAAGGATCCAATGGCTGTTGCTATGTCTGAAATGATGCAGAGAATCAAGACTGGGAATATACAACTGAAACCCGTCAAAAGTGTAATTGTTCAACTTTCTTTACTGTTATTAGAACTATTAAAAACAGTTCTTCTTTTCCTTTTTTTTTTTAATTTGTTTCTAAACGACTTGGAATCACTTTATAGACTTTACCTTTACTTTCCTAGTTTCACACGCCTCTGTGCCAGTATGGCGGATTTGTCTTCTTAACGTGCAGTTTGTAACTAACCCTGTTTGTTTTAAGCCTTCCACTACTAGCAGCGAGAGTGATGACACAGATGCCATGTCAGATTTAGGAAATTTATTGGTAGGCAAATGAATTGCTTCATCTATATTTTGTCAATTACCAAAAAGTATTTTTACCGTTGCACGAAAAGTAACGATGTATATTGAAGTACGACACAATCTGCGCTTTTTTTGCGTCATTTCAAGTTGACAATTAAGTACAATTATATAGAGATTTTTTGTGAAAAGAATTATGGAAAAAAATCTCAATCAGCGTGAACAGAAAGCGAAATTAAAAAAAGAAAACAAACAAAGACGTCAACATCACTACCAGGGGCGACAAACAAAAACAACAGATCAAAACGGTTATGTTTTTTGTTATGAAAGTGACCGCGAAGATGTGAATGCAAAAATTTCAAGAAGGAAAGTATGATATAACTGATCCTTTGTTTACGAGTAAATAAACTTGAGAGAGAAAATCTTAATCGGGTGTCAAAAGTAACCCGGGACTGCTTTGTTTTTCATTTACTTTGCTCTGTTATTGGTCCAGAAAACTCGCGCTACTCTCTCAACCAATCAGATACAAAACTGAAACCAATTTTGACATGGTCACCCGCGTTTTCCCGCGCTTTAGTTAGTTGGGTTGTTCTTACTTCTTTGACTCATTGACCCTTAAAAGTATTTTCCTTTTTTCTGATTGGCCGTGGTGATTAATTTGGTTTGGCGGGTATTACGCTCTTTTTTGAGTAGTATTCTATCGAATTCAAGTATGGGGTTAAAGAGAATGTTTAACAATTGAACGTCTTCTACTTTTTCAGAAAACGTTAAAGAGAAATCCAAGCGTTGATGTTGGTCCAGGAGTAAGTTCTCCTGGAGCAGACGGTTCACCAGTTGAATGGGCAAATATTAAGCTACGTAAGCCGAGCTCCAGTGTAGAGTCTTCCAAGGAGACATCCAACTCAGGAGACGCCGGAAATGGCAACAATGAACTAAAAAAGGTGGTATTGAGGAAACCACGAAGCCATTCTGCAGGGGACATTCTTGACGATAGACCAAAGGACGAGGCTACGGCAGAGCTGAAAAGGATTCTACAGAGACAAAAAGCTGCTGCCGAGAAAGGTGAAAAATTGATAGAAAATGTGCTCCTTTTGTAGTTTAAAATGTTCTCCCAGTCACCGGTCAACGGTGTAATTTGTCTCTACAATGTGCCACGATCATTTTGTTTTGTCTTGTTTTAAGATGCAAAATGGTCGAATGACTTTCACTTTGAAGAAACTTACAGTCTTAGTAGAAAAACTGTTAGAGGCAAAATTAGCCGTATGTAACATACTAAACCGAAAGGAACGACTCGTAACACTCGACCATTTCTTTCTATGTTTAAAAAATTATTCTCTCTTTTTGTTTCAGAAAATGCGGAACAAAATAGTAAGGGCGTGTGTGAAAATGAAGCGGCTTGAATGATTCAGGTTGTGAGGGCTGAAAATCTCATCGTAAACAGAGGGGCTTTCTTACCATCTGTTCATTTGTTCATGTTGGAACAGAGAACCATATATTTAAATGAAGCTGTACGCTCTTAGAGAAAATATTTAGAATTAGATTACTATCTCGTCATGGATGAAAAGGAGTAGTGAAGAGAAAAAACCTCGTCTGGTTTTTTTGTAATACCTCATTGCTAGGGCTCGATTTAATATTCACTTGGGTTTTCCCTTTAGCTTGGATGATTTTAAGTACGATGGAGGATTTGTGTCAAAAGCAAAAGACAGATTTTGACGCAAACGTGTATCGATACTTACGAAAATAATTTCAGATGTTTTGAAGCTCGTGGAAGGTCTTAACTTATCGTGTCAAAAAAAAAAAAGAAAACGATAGTTGGGGTATGAAAAGAAGGAGAATTCATAAAATAATGGAAGATTTCTTGAAGTAGGGAGTAAGCTATGTAAGTAAATGCACTCTTAAAAACCCCAAATTCCAGTAGCGGTATCACGATTGCGATCGCGAGAGGACGTTTGAACCGTGACATCAGTATGCATATTCTCCACATTGTTTGCTGTGCGTTTTCTTTGTTAACGACAAGGAGAATATTTTTAACGATCAAGAACTTCTTAAGCTGGCGATCATTTCCTTTCTTCACATGAGCTTCATGTTTGATTCAGTGGCAATACTGTAAAAAGAAATTAGATTACAGTCATTCTTGTGGGATTAAGGGTTGAACAATTTTGAAAATCTTTTTCTTTTTCTTTGTTTGCCTTTTGTGTAGCTTCGTTACTAAAGGGAAGGAAGATTCTGTAGCAGCCTGTGAGCTAATTGGTTCTAATTTTAATTTGTTTGAATGAAGTATTTTGATATTGTGATCCATTCTGATATAAAGACGCAATTTACGTAAACAGAGAAGTCAAGAAAATGTTATTAAGTTGTTAAGATTTTGTTTCATTGGTTTATTGGATGAGACAATTCCACCAAAAATAAATTTTCCTTTAAAAACAGGCCGGAGGTTCCTCTCGATGAACTTCCGTTAGCAATTCTATATATGAATACTTTCGAGGTCCTCAAGGTACCAATTTAGGAGGAGTTTCGCGCAAACGGGCAAATAGGGAACGTCCCCAGAGAGATACACTACGTGTTTGAAAGTAGAAGTTGTCAGAATTCATGAAATATTTTTTATAAAAAGAAAATAAATATTGAATCATATTTGAGTGTAAACTAGAGCTAGTCCTGGCATTTAATCGAACTTAGAATTTTTTAAGACAATTTTTGAAATTAGTCTTCTGTAGCGATACACTGTGCAAACTCTTAGTGAGACAATAATTAATGTAAACTTCTATGATTTACATCGATACAGCTTCAGAACGTAATTTGATTTTGCTTCGCAGTTTGATCAGGATAAAGAAGATACCTACTGCTTGTATACGAAAACAGTCCTTTGACGCAGGTTGTTCTAAACATACACGGCAGTTTTCGTTGTCCTATTTGATTGGCGTTTTTGGTAGGAGAGCACTTCAAAAGTAATTGACACGGCCGTCTCAATTTCGCGCCCATGCACTTTACTTTTGAAACATGTCTGTACAGGAGCAGATTTTTGGTATGAAATAAATTTTCCTTGTCTTAGTTGCCTCGTTACTCTGTCATGAACCGCAGTTGGCATCAATTCCGAAATTGAGTTTTCAATATTGAATACTCGATCACGTTGGAATCTTTTAACACGTGTTATAGTCTTGGAAGAAATTAGTGTAGAAAATTTTGTTAGCGACTGTTGATAAAAGCTGTGATGTGGAACTGAAACTGTTCCAGCAATCAGATATCTTATAAATACAATCTGGTTCTGAATTACTACTCGCATGGATGCTAGACATTTAATGCTGTAAATGAAGTCCTCAGTATTAGAATTTGAATGATTAACTTCTTACTAACCGAGTGCAAGACGAAGTGAGGATTGACGCGAATTCTTGGCAGCACGGACAAATCGCAGCACGGTCTGTGCAAAAACTAACCGAGGGCCGGTTATCTCCAGTACGGCTCGAGCAAGCGAGGTCAGTTTTGAAATAGTTTATTATGTGGCACTAGGACCAAAATTGTTTATTTTGCAAGTACTGGCTGTAGTAAACGAAAATACACGGTTTATGACTGGTTTTGTAGAAACGCCGGTTGCGAGTGACAAATACGGACCAAGTAAGAACCATGCAATGAGAACGTTCAGATTTACCCCAGTACTGCCTTGCCATATAATAAAACTTATTAATAACCGCGCTTCAGGGCGGTGCTGGAAAATATTTGGCCTAGGTCGTAGCTGGTCTGTACAAAAACGACCGAGAGCCATTACTCCTCAGTACCGCTCGAGCAAGCAAGGGTAGTAATTCATTTATTATATAGCACTCGAGACCAAATTTTTTTATTTTCAATTTGTTGGCTTTCGCAAACAAATATACACGGCTTTTGACAGTTTCCGTGGAAACGGTCCGTATGGCGAAATACGGACCAAGTAAGAACCAAATCAGAACGCTCGGTTAACCTCAGGACAAATTCGTCATGTAATAATTAATGGAAATAGGCCCAAGTGGAGTCTAATTCGGTCTGTAATCATACGAGTGATAACAAAATCGGACGACCGTGCAGCGGGAGTCCGATTTGTTTATCGCGAGTATGCACAGACCAAATTAGACGACACGAAGTCTTATTACCAATTAATTATAAAAATTACGATTACCGAGAAAAGAAGAATAGCCAAGTCATGAAAGAAAGGGAAAATTTGCATTAAAAGACTCACAAAGGAGGCCTAATGTGCTTGGATTGTCCGATGACAAACTGTCCAATAACAAACTGTCTGGTAACAACTTGGCGAGTGAATTTGTGGAAAAAAAGGAGTTTTTTAAACCAATCACAATCGAGTAAATTGTAGTTTTTATGATTAACATGTATATTTGGCACAGAGTGCAGTTTTTAAGTTACCCTCTGTAGCTGACAGGTGCCTGTGGTCTATTTGAGTTTTGACATCCTGTGACAGTATGTGCTGGCGTGAAAAAGCAGATTATAATTCGAGGCTTGCATGAAAGTCTGACCAAAAATCGCTATAATTCCAGATCTTCCTTTGGTAACCTTAAAAACGCTGTACCATCTAGCTGAATTCAAAAAACTTACGACAGGAACATTTGATTACTTCCCTGAGATGTTAATTGTTAGATGGGGCTGGTATCTTGTAGTGCATAGACTATATTCCATTCTACATAAGATAGTAAACATTGGTTTGTTCGCCACAAATTGCGTTATAACTGTCTGACCCAGATGTCGAGGAGCACTCGCGCAAAGTTTCTTTGCCGAAGAAGGAATCTTCTTCATCTGTTCGTATTATTTTCTGCCGGGGTGTTTTTATTTCATCTGTATTTCAATCTTTGTGTAGTCCAAGTGATTCCCAACCGAGAGCCTTGTAATATGGCGAAATTTTCCTGCCATGTTGATAAAGAAACATCAAAAACGCAAAAGGACAGAGTTTACGGCCCACAAGTGGACTTTGATGAATTTAGTGATATCGGCAAAAAGAGAAGTCATGGAAAGAATTCTCCATGCCGAAAGACGGAGGACGAATCAAGATTTCGCGAGGTTAAAAGGGGAATAATTGCTTATTCAGCTTGGTTTGATAGGAGAAAATCTCAGGAGTATGTGCGGATTTTGTTATTGACTTCAACAACAGAGCCTCTTCCAATACTTTTCTGTCATTTTGACAGCGGATTGAAACGATCTTTCACCAGTACCATCTCTTATTATCAACACAACGAAAACCATTACATGCCGTTTGGATGCTTCATAGCTTCTTGTGCTGTTCCACCCGAATTGGACCATATACCATGTTCTGTGATTGTCTCTACGAATGAAAAGTCAACTTCTAAAACACAAAATGAAAGCAGCTCACTTGTTTTGCCCATAAATTTTATCGACCGAAAAATCGAGGTTGGCCACAGGCAATACGGTATTTGTATACCTCCTCTTCATGGTGAGATATCGGTGGACAGGTTGATAGAGTTTTTGGAACTCTCACAAATTTTAGGAGCTTCACATTTTACTTTTTATAACTTGGACATGTCTGACGACGTACAAAACGTTTTGGATTATTATGAAGAAAAGGGATTAGCGCGCGTTCTTCTTTGGAATTTACCTTCGTACATTAGCGAGAATGATATCCATTATTATGGGCAAACTTTGTCGATTATGGACTGCTTATTCCGGTCTATGACTCATCTTGACTACGTGGCTTTTAATGACCTAGACGAGTTTATTGTACCGCTTTATCATGACAACGTAAGCGTTTTACTAAAGGAAATTCACCGCAAGGAACATTGCGGGCACTGTTTTCAGAGCGCGATATTTGATCCCTCTTGGGAAGATCTGCAAATGTCGCGTTTAATAACCCAACGAGTTTTTCGTCGCACGAAAGAGGCTACGCCATTTTGGACTAAATGTATTGTCGATCCGCGTAGAATTTTTGAGGTGGGGATACATCACATTAGCAAACCAATTGACGATAATTTTATTGTTGATCAAGTTGACTGGGGTGTTGCGCGGGTTTTTCATTACAGAGAATGCGACGACTCAGAAGCGTTAATGCAGCCAGACTGTTCTGGAAACACTGAAGAAGATAGAACTATGCAGAAATATGAGGAACAGCTGCAGATTAATTTTGAATTGAATGCCATGGCCATAGTAGATTTTGCCGAGACAAACTACTAAAGTGTTTGATATGCAAATCGACAAACAATCCTTTCATAATAAGTCCGTTTCGGAAAAAATACTTCAAGTAAAATGTTTATTGTTGAGCACTCTGACAAAAGCCCAGTGTATAATGACTTCTGGAGGGTTTTTTGTAAATTTCTACCAATCACAAGCGAGATTCACAAGCCTTTAAGTCACTAATGACCCCAACACGAGCTGCTTTTTGGCGGTCTCGTGCGATAAAAACATAATTATATCTGATATATCCGGCTGAGAATATTTTAAAGGAAAAAACAAAGAGAGTAAACTAATTGAATTCATTGAAATTTAGATAAACGAAAGCCAAACTAATGTCAGCGACTCTTGGTTATTATAGATAGATAACGGTCGAGTCAACGAATTCCAATTTCGTGATTGTTTGATGTCAGGGTTGTTGGTTGTCTCTTGACTGGAAACTAATTTACTGTTGAGGTAATTTTGGAAATGAAACTGAATCTTTATAGGGCATAAATTTTATAATAAGAGTGCGCAAACCAGAAGTTGTAGCTAATGATGCTGTGACTAAACATCTAAAAGATCTTCATTGTGTTGTTATGTTTTGAGTTTCCGAAAACCACAGCGTGAAGTAGACAAACTGTTTGCGTGATCTCTTAAAGAAAATCACTAAATCAAAGAGCAGCTTTGATATTAAAATCAAAACTCAGAAACAATTATTTTAAGTTTCGATGAAGGTCCCGATTGAAACTTTCCAAGTGCAAACAGCTCAAAAAAAATTGATTTATTGAAAAGTGCGTGAAGTCCTGAAGCGTATTTTTTTGGCGTGTCGTACCTTTTTCAATCGACGCAACTGCACGGCGTGATGTGCTCTTGTTTTGACTTCTTTCTTAATATAAACGTACGGATGAAATGCGTTTCAAAAAAAATTAGAATTGGACTGATGTTCACAGTTTGCCATTAAAGGGTGGCCGAGGAAGCCCCACAGATGCAAAGAATGTACATTAAGAGAATGAATATCATAAATCGGACCAAAGTTGTACCAGATTTGACGGATGTTATTAATGTTAGTTCCTGTAACGATCAGCGGTCAATTCAACAAACACACTATATTTTTTTTACAGTACTAAAAAAAGTTTGATTCTCCAGTTTATATTAGGCGCAGGTCAAAACTTACATTTCCTTTCCATAATTGATAAAAAGTAACGAAAACATTGACTAGTGATGTATTCCCAAGCGAAACGAAAAAAATGTGTTGTAAGAATTTTTTTTTAAACTGCTCACACCTACTGCGCAGTCGCAGAACAATCTGAAACCGAAACACGACGACACAACACGACGACGCACCACGAATCTTATACGAATGGCCCAGAAAATACGGAAACTGCTTTATTACCAGGCTTTCTCAGCCTTTCCTTACACTTTACGTCCGCTGAAGTATTGATCATTGTTTTGTGTTTTTCGTTTCTGTTTTCCTTGTTTTTAATCGCTAAAAACATACTGCAAGACTTCACCTCAGGGGTCATGGTAATTGCTTGTTTGCTCTGATTTTTTTTTGCATTTCTTCTGTCTGCCTCAAGTTTGGTAGCAGGATTTTGGTGTCTTCTTGGCAACAAGTACATGACAACGTTATTATTATCATATTGGTCATTGAACATCTTCTGAATTCTTATCCGTATTTCAATATGTGAGTTTAAGAAACGTCTATCATGGGAGACATGTCTACAGATCAAGATGCTAAAGGGGCTGGACAAGGCGTTATAAACCAAACTCAGAAGAGTTCGAATGAGTTGTACAAGTATGTCGACCTAAACGGCGGTGGGTGTCTTGTTGAAGCATTCAGGAGAGCTCAGGCAAGGAAGGACTTCACTGAGGTAGAAGAACTCATCGAGGGATTTCGTGAGAAGTTTTTGTACAACAATGGGGCTGGAAAGGACGTCGATATAGAAGAACTTGTTCAATGGAGACTAAAGAGTCGCAAGGTTCAAAAACCATCTAAGAGAGAAAGCTCTTTGAAGGCTTGCTTTACTAAATGTTCAAATCGAGTGGAGGATACGATCGAAGCCGTTGGAACAGATCATTATGCAATGAAAACTGAGAACATTGGTACGTACGGTTCATGCATTATTTCATTTATTAATCATGTTTTATTGTCTCTAAAGTACAGTTCTGCAGAAATTGTTTTTAAACTATACGGACATCAGTTTGTCCATATAAAAGTATTTTTGAGTAATACAGACCTTATGTTTTTCTCATATGAAGCGTTACGCTGATAGAAACAAATGTTTAAAGTATTCATGATCTCACGTTGCGCCTCATTACTTTGTATTAGCTTGGGACCTTGTACCTGATGCCTGAATGAGGTCATAATTGAACATATTGTATGAAATAGGTCAAAAGTCATGTTGATTCAGAGATTCAGAAGCAGATGCAGATGAAATTTAAACATGCTGATTGCCATTTCATCTATTGGTGACCAGAATTTTCATTTTGCTTGCTAGCATGCTACTAACTTGAAGTCTTGTTAATAATGTTCTTCCTGTAAATGACAGCGCCGAACACTTTGCACCCTCACATCAGTATGTATATTCTCCATATTGTTCTCCATACTTTTCCAAAGATGCTGACAAGAATCTAGAGTTTCTTTAGTTGATGATCATTTCCTTTATTTTTGTGACCCTATTGTGATTTATGGTGATATTTTAAGGAGAAGTTAGGCTCAAAGCAAACAGTAAAATACATTAAGATTAAAACCTAGAGACTGAGAGAGGTTGGAAACCTTTCTTGCAAGCATTATAATGTGTCAGGAGCAATAAGATAGCTAGGACTCAGTTTCAACTAAAACAATTCTTTGAATTCAAGTGATTTTTTCATCAACAAATCGAACTGCACACACCTAAAGCAGCTACTTTTGTTTATTATATTCTAGGATCTAATAGCACACGTTTTTTTGTTTGTTACAGAGAGTACGACAAGATCTGTTTGCTGGGATATCAACCAACGTGCTGCTGTGGGAGAAAATGTCCTTCACTTGTGTTTTCTGAATGCAACTCAAGTGCACTATGATATAGCCAAGTTAATCATAAAGAAATTCCCTTCTCTTGTCAATGATATTTATATCAGTGATGAGTTTTATGGTGAGATGAATATCATTTCATAGTTATTCTACCACTCAAAACATGTAACTAAGTATTATTCTTAAATAAGCTGTCACTAGGATTTTGAATTGAAGCACTTTTACTTATGTTTACCATATTTCCTTGAATAAGTGTGCACGCTCTAATAAACACCCTCTCTCTGTCTCAATTTAGCTCCCACTCCTTTAGACCATAATGTTAATCAAGTGCTTCTCTCAAATAAATGCTCCCTGCCATCCACACTTTCTTTAATAGTAGGGATACAGGGAAAACCTGTTACTGTTACCAGCTTTAACTATTATTATTTTTAAGTTTCAACTACAGCAAAATCAGCAGAGGAGAATAGTTTCTGTTCTGTAAAGTCACTCCTAGTTATTCTATATCCATGTGCTTGCTGAGTTCCTTTATGTGTGTTATTGGTTCTATTAATTTTTGTCCTATTGGCACACTGACTTAATGAGGCCCCTCCCCCCTCCCTAGATTAAACACCCGCCTTGCAATAAGCACCCCTGATAAGATTGGTGAGGCTTGATATTTTGGTGCAGGTGCGTGGCGTGACGTTGTTAAAACCTAAACAGCTTGAAGCTCATATATATGTGATTATACACACGTGTTATAGCTTAAGGATTTGTGCTCCTAGGTGAAAGTGCCTTGCACATGGCAATTGTCAATGAAAATCAACATATGGTTCATATTCTGTGCAAGAATGGTGCAGACATACATGAACGTGCCTACGGAGCTTTCTTTTGTCCTGAAGATCAACGAAAATCAAGAAAAGATCGTGCAGGGCAGGAGACTATTGTTCTTACTGATGAGACAAATTATGAAAGGTACATAAGAAAGCAGAGTTTTTCTGTAGATTATTATTTTTTTATTAAGTGTAACTGTGTTTGTCTTAAAGTTTTAGTTATTAATAACTCTTAAAATTATCTTTCCCCCTCAGTTGTATTACAGCAATCTAAAAAAAAATGGAAGATGAACATAAAGCAATTGAAATATTAATCTTAATGATAATTAAAATAATTATGATTATTGGTAGTAAATGAGAATTAGTTTGATGATCATATACAGGAAAAATTATACATGTCTGATTGGCTGAAAATGGGTGAATTTTTCATGTAACACGAGGGCAAAATTGTAACACAAGTGCAAAGCTGCAACACAAGTGTGAATAACAAACAGTGTGTTGTGCCAAAATTGCTTGTGTCGCGACTTTCTCTAATTCGTTTATCATGGAAATTATTAACAACTAACATCATTATTTCTTGCACAATTAATTGATGTAAATAAAAACTTGTAAGTTTTTCAGAGACTACAAATTGTACTTGCCCTATGAGCTCAAGACATGTAATTTTGTTATGTTTGAAAAATTTACTTGTGCATATAAACACCAAATTGTACTGGCAATCATATTGTTTCCTATACTTGTTTGAATCCCTAAAACAGTATACAGCACATGTATGATTTTTTAAGAAAGAAACCAATTACAAGTGCACTTTGCTTCATTGTAAATTAACAGAGAATTGGTATGATGTTACAAAACATGTTCTTGGTTTACACTTAAATTTTGTAAGTTGTAAAATGTCCTTTGTTTCTTACAGCAACACTTATTTTGGAGAATATCCATTGTCTTTTGCTGCATGTCTTGGTTTAGAGGATATGGTGCGATATTTCATAGTCAAAGGGGCGTGTCCCAATAAACAGGACACAAATGGCAATACTGTTCTTCATATGATGGTTATTCATAATAGAATGGTATGTAAATAATCCCTTGTTCACATTTACCTGATTAGTAATAGGGTAGCAGTACAACAAGAGAAGCCAAGGGATTAAGTCTTTTTACAAAAATGGTCAATTTGCAACATTTGACTGAATTGCTGAATTGGATATGGTGTTGGTTCTAAACTTAACAAAACCAAGATTTGTGTTACCAACAGAAGAGGAAATGATATGATCTCAGCTTTGATACTAATTATATACAGAGTACTGATTGTTATGAGCAGGGAAAAATGTGCAATATCACTGATTTCAACCTAAGGAGAAAGACCTTTCTGGGTGTCAATAAGAGGTGTTAACTGTATTCTAGGGCCATTTATAAGACTTCTTGATACTGTCTGTTAAACTTGCCAGCAAGCTCTAAGTTGTGTTTGGGTTTTGCTCTACTACACATTACTCCATTAGCAGCTGCTTATGGAAAATTTTATTGAAACACCTGAAAATCCATATCATGCCAGAAATGGCTGAAAAGGAGACCTAATATTGCAGTTTATGGAGCATTTTTGTGTTGCAAGTACATTCATTCTGATTTTTTTGCCAACAACGCCTATTTTACTTGATAATTATAATTTATTAATGTCAAGTAGAGAGAGTGCTATACATATTGGTAATAAAGCCTACACATGATTGAGGAAAGTTTCAATTGCAACAGAGAAGAACACTCTTCGCTCAAGTGTTTATTTTTGATTAATCAACAGCTTCTGGAGAATTGAAACAACCTTTAAGTTTGTATTGCATTCTTCTATATGACTTAATGCATTGCTGAAGAATTTCCAATAATTATTTTTAGTTTTCAGATTTTGTAAAATTGTTTCACTGTAAATCTGGAACAAAACTAGATCTTTAAGAACCAAGCCAACTTCTCGAGTACAAAAGAGTACTTATTTGAATGCTGTTGAACATTTGCAGGACATGTATGACCTAATTTTTGATTATGGATGCCACTGTGCTTGTCAGTGTGGAAAACCACTTAACACTGTTATGAACAACATGGGCTTGACACCTCTGACCCTTGCTGCTAAACTGGCTCGCAAAGAGGTAAATTTGTTATTTTGAGGATATGCACGATAAGTACATTGCATGAAGTTGTAAATGTATAGTCATGAGTTTGTCTGAGTTTATTATTACCGGTAATTATTAACAATGCATCTACATAAATGTATGTGGAATAAAATATTTAATTTGTTCTTGTTTGATATCCTTGGTAGATGTTTCATCACATTTTGACACGAGAGAGAGACGTGTTTTGGAAATATGGTGAAGTGACATGTGCTGCATTCTCTCTGAAAGATCTTGATACAGTGAGATTTTTTTTCATAATGTCTTATAATGATCATTCGTCTTTGTAGAAAGATTTAAGAGTCCTCTGCATTACCTTACATTTTGTAGGTTTTCCATATCAACCATAATTTTCATTTCCATATTTATGGCCCTTCCTGAAAGGCTAATTCAAAGACCTGTAATTTAATTAGCCCCTTAAAATTTTCCTGTTAAAAATTAGAATGATAAGAAGAAAAACCAAGACTCTTACTATGATTGTTAACCAGGGGACAGGTCATTATTTATGTAGAGGGGGAGGGAGGGAAAATATGTTGGAAAGATTAAAATTTCTGTAGCCCCTCCCCCCTTCAGGCCATGTGAATAACAAGTGACCCCCCTTCTTTTTTCAATGTTTATGTGATGACCCCCCTTACCTCATATCTCCTCTTACATTCCTGCAATTACTTGACCCTCCCTAACCTGTACCGTTTTCATTTCCTAACTTGAATCTTTTTCAATCCCATGAAGGTTTCAGTTTAAACTCTGATAAACCTGTATATCTCAATTGTCAAAATTGATAACTGTTACGTTGGTCAAATAATGCTGATCAATGTCAGTATCTGAGCAATTATGCACCAATCCCCTCCCTGAACCCAACAAGTCAACTGATAACAATTTAGGTTTAATGTTGTGTTAGGAGTCACGGTAGATGTGTAGCATTGATTCAATAATGTTTGTTGTAATTTTATGTACTCTTGCCAATTTTTTAGCTGACAACAGAAGGCCAGATAAATGAGAAATGTGCATTAAACCTTATTACACATGAGGTATGAATGAGTAGACTTGTGTGTGACTGAATAAAACTGAGAAGAGGATGATTATTTTACCACTCATGGTACATAGTGCAACCTGTATTCAGTGGACAATTCTCTTTAAAATTGTGTGGAGGCAGCCTTTAGAAGGATCAGAGCTTGATTATTTTTTCCTGAGTTTGATTGTGGTTAAGATTACATGGTGTGATATTCAAAGTTTTGTTCCAAGCTGATAATTTTAAATTTCTCTGATAATAAGGCTACCAAAACACCAGATTTGAAAGGTTGCATGTTTCACACCTTAAGGGTCCCGTATCAAGGTTACCAGTAACAATGAACTTAAACTGCATTCATCAGATGTTCTGTTTATAGGGGATACTAACAATGGTCTTGTAGGCATTTGCACAATACAGGTTTCAGCAAATATACTTTGTTCATTGATTAATGCACTAATCAATGCATAGCTTCAACATTCCCCCCAGCAACCCCCTTGGCATTTGAACTTTATAAGATTGGTTTGTTCAAATTCCCGTGGGTTTGTTTGGAAATGGACAGGGAGGGGGGTGTTGATATATATGAAAGGATGAATAGTAAAGGATTAACATGCATTTTGATTGAGTGTAGTAGATTCATGCTAGTATAAAAGTTTCATATTAAGAAGATGTCATTGAGAACTGAACAGTATAAAAGCAAAAGTGCTTGGAGTGTGGGATATCACTGGTGTAATGTATTGCAACATTATCGCAATATTAGATCATGGCCTTGAAGAAGATGTAGTATTTAACTTACAATTAGATTCATTTGTGAGCTCAAGATCCCTGTTACATGGTAGTTGATGAGGAAAAAACCCAAAACACCTACCAGGCTCGTATTTTTGTGTTTCATTTTTGTTTACTACCACATACTGTCTGGCTATTCACTGTCTACCATGGACTGGAGTGTGAGTGGCTTAGCTAATCAGATGGCAGCATTTTTGATTGAACAGTAGTAGATTCACACTTAGTTTTAATTATAGTTAGACAACCCTCTTTAATAATAGTTATAGATAGATAACTCTCTTTAGTAATAATTATAGTTAGACAAACCTCTTTAATAATAGTTATAGATAGATAACTCTCTTTAGTAATAATTATAGTTAGACAAACCTCTTTAATAATAGTTATAGATAGATAACTCTCTTTAGTAATAATTATAGTTAGACAAACCTCTTTAATAATAGTTATAGATAGATAACTCTCTTTAGTAATAATTATAGTTAGACAAACCTCTTTAATAATAGTTATAGATAGATAACTCTCTTTAGTAATAATTATAGTTAGACAACCCTCTTTAATAATAGTTATAGATAGATAACTCTCTTTAGTAATAATTATAGTTAGACAACCCTCTTTAATAATAGTTATAGATAGATAACTCTCTTTAGTAATAATTATAGTTAGACAACCCTCTTTAATAATAGTTATAGATAGATAACTATTTAGTAATAATTATAGTTAGACAAACCTCTTTAATAATAGTTATAGATAGATAAACTCTCTTTAGTTATAATTATAGTTAGACAAACCTCTTTAATAATAGTTATAGATAGATAACTCTCTTTAGTAATAATTATAGTTAGACAAACCTCTTTAATAATAGTTATAGATAGATAACTCTCTTTAGTAATAATTATAGTTAGACAACCCTCTTTAATAATAGTTATAGATAGATAACTCTCTTTAGTAATAATTATAGTTAGATAAACCTCTTTAATAATAGTTATAGATAGATAACTCTCTTTAGTAATAATTATAGTTAGACAACCCTCTTTAATAATAGTTATAGATAGATAACTCTCTTTAGTAATAATTATAGTTAGATAAACCTCTTTAATAATAGTTATAGATAGATAACTCTCTTTAGTAATAATTATAGTTAGACAAACCTCTTTAATAATAGTTATAGATAGATAACTCTCTTTAGTAATAATTATAGTTAGACAACCCTCTTTAATAATAGTTATAGATAGATAACTCTCTTTAGTAATAATTATAGTTAGATAAACCTCTTTAATAATAGTTATAGATAGATAACTCTCTTTAGTAATAATTATAGTTAGACAAACCTCTTTAATAATAGTTATAGATAGATAACTCTCTTTAGTTATAATTATAGTTAGATAAACCTCTTTAATAATAGTTATAGATAGATAACTCTCTTTAGTTATAATTATAGTTAGACAACCCTCTTTAATAATAGTTATAGATAGATAACTCTCTTTAGTAATAATTATAGTTAGACAAACCTCTTTAATAATAGTTATAGATAGATAACTCTCTTTAGTAATAATTATAGTTAGACAAACCTCTTTAATAATAGTTATAGATAGATAACTCTCTTTAGTAATATTATTAGACAACCCTCTTTAATAATAGTTATAGATAGATAACTCTCTTTAGTAATAATTATAGTTAGATAAACCTCTTTAATAATAGTTATAGATAGATAACTCTCTTTAGTAATAATTATAGTTAGACAAACCTCTTTAATAATAGTTATAGATAGATAACTCTCTTTAGTAATAATTATAGTTAGATAAACCTCTTTAATAATAGTTATAGATAGATAACTCTCTTTAGTTATAATTATAGTTAGATAAACCTCTTTAATAATAGTTATAGATAGATAACTCTCTTTAGTAATAATTATAGTTAGATAAACCTCTTTAATAATAGTTATAGATAGATAACTCTCTTTAGTAATAATTATAGTTAGATAAACCTCTTTAATAATAGTTATAGATAGATAACTCTCTTTAGTAATAATTATAGTTAGATAACCCTCTTTAATAATAGTTATAGATAGATAACTCTCTTTAGTAATAATTATAGTTAGATAAACCTCTTTAAGTGATGTATGTCAGTCTGCTTTTGATGTTTTATGGCAGGAATCAGTATCACACTTGGTCCTATTTGATGGAATCCTACACAATTTGCTCAAAGAGAAATGGAAGCATGCCTGTCGTTATAGGTGTGTAAAACTAAGGCATATTCCATTGCCAGTGTTAATAATCATGCGTGTACCACACTGTATCATACATTTTGATACATAAAATGTACAGTACCTAAGGGTACTCCAAAAAAATTTTTTTTTGGGACCGCTCATGTATATATCCTTGCCAATACCAAATTTATGGTACAACAAATGTGGGTATTTGGGTTTCATTCACAGAGATGATCCCACTCATAGCTAATGCTGGTTGAAAAAAAAAGAAGCATTTACTGGTGACTTGCATTGCATATATCAGTAAACTCACTTTCTTTACATTAGTCACTAAATGGATCAAACTACACCTCCTTTAACCCTCTAACTCCCAGATCAGATTTGTAATTCTCCTTACTGTCAACCATACAATTCTTACAATGTTGGTTCAGAGAATTTAGTGTTGGATGGACTAATTATCCCCAAATTTATATTTTTCTTTATTCTCATCACTTATCTGGTTGAAATTGTATTGATATTGTAAGGAGAAATTCTGTCTTGTTCACTCATGGGAGTTAAAGGGTTAAAGGGTTAAAAGCTGCCAAGGTTATATTCCCTTCCCTTTAAAGCATCTCCATTAAGTCATGAAATCTGTTGAACTAGCTCTGTACTACCCATAACTATCACACCAGGTAAAAAGTTGTTAACTTGTTGTAATATCTCATTTATTATTATTAATTACATTAAAATGTTATTTCATAATTGTTTTTATTAATTATTATTTTGTTATCTTCTCAGATTTTATCAGCTTCTGGCTCTGTACATCTTCTTTCTCATCACCTTAAGTGTTGCTGTTCTCCTCCGCCCTCTTGGTGTAAGTTCCAACCAATTTTGTTACATTGCCTTTTTTAACTTTGCAATTGATGTTTCATTTTAAATTTTTGCTTCAAATTACTGACAGAAATTATACGCTGTAACGTGGCTGGATCCAGGGATTTTTCTCAGGAGGGGCCAGGTGCACCAATAAGGAAGGATGTAACTGATGGGCGACTTAAACAAATTTTAAAAGCAAATAATGGAAAAGACGGCTTATGACCAGGCAATAACATTATGTGAACTGCTGGGAATACTTACATGTAGCAAACATACAGCGGATTTTGTATGACTATGAAGTTGTTTTAGAAATTTCAGGTCATCTCATAATGTGGTGCCCACTCCCTGCACCCTTTCCATAGATCCACCTCTGCATAAGTAGAAAGGGCATTTTGTACCAATGACATTTTGTACCTACTACATGTTTATAACAATTAACTACAGGGAAACCAAACCAGAGTAGTTAATGACTAATTTGAACACTCAATGTAGAACTTAAACCTCATGTAGTATCTACATGTACATAACATGTGTCCTCTTGTGATGGGTGAATTTAAAAATAGCAAATGATGATTTTTGTGGTACCTTGTAGGACTTGCATTGTGATGACAATGTTAAAAACAGCAGCCCTATTAACTCCTCCATGACATCAAATACCACAAGTTGTGATTCCTGTTTTCTCCTTAACACAATTAAGAATGACAGCACTCAACAGGTTTGTGGTTTCTGTATACTTGGTCATTAATTGCATGGATTCTCTTCAATCTAGCATTATCATGATATTAAGTCAGTATGAGTAACTCTTTTTAATTGTTCTTGAGAATAGAACCCTGTAGTATTTGCACAATTTCTCTGTTGTCATGGTTCACATAATTGCCTAAGTTGATTATTTTGGCAATAACAATGTATTTGTATTTCAAACTGAGACGTATTATACCTGCCTTGAAGCCTGAAAAAAATAGCTGCCATTTAATAACAAATTGCCTTTGAAAGGCTAAATGAAAAAGCTTTAAAAAGGCATCTCATTTGCTTTTATTCAGTAGGATTTTTTTAGTAACATTTTTCTTAACTTCAACCCCACCCCAATTTTCCTGGCAATGGTATAGTGTTGCTTCTTTTTTTCCTATAACTGTGGTGTCTAAACAAAGGGTCTTATATGCAAAATCTCAGTAATGTCAGAACCTCTTTAAACTGAACTTATTTTCTACAGGTTCGAGCTGCTTTTGAAATCCTGACATTGCTGTTTGCTTTCATCTACATCCTTATCCTCATTCGAGAGGTGATTTTTCAGGAGGGACTCAAGCCTGTTTTCTTTGACTTGGTAAGAGTTGCATTATTTAGCAGTTAGGAAAGGTTAATGATTTTCACTTTTCACTTCTTTTAAATTAGTACAAGAAAGTACAGTCAATGTTACTGTTTACAATAACCTGGTATGGTATGTTCCTCACTAAGTATTTTACATTGCATTGTCCATTGCAGTTGAAAAATTGGACTCATGGCTCTTCAGGGGGAGGGGAAATCGAGAAGTGATCAACGTGATAACATTTAATTTAATTTTTGTGGTGTTTCTTTTGTTTCATCAACCCTGTTTTATTTCATGGTATACTTTGTTCAGGTTCACAACCCTCTGCGACTCCTGCTGGTGTTATCTTGTGTAATATTACTAACCTGCTTAGCAGCACGCTTCACTTGTGAACCTAATCTTGAAGATCACCTGGTAATTGCAGCTCTTGTTCTGGCCTGGCCTTACTCTCTCACATTCTGCAGGTGTGACAATAAATTCACTTTGTTTTGTCCCTTAAAGCATTATATTTACTTGCTGAGTGCATGAAAAGTCAAAATCAACATCCCAATTCTAAAATATTGTCCCTCTTCTTGCAGCTGTTCAATGCAGTGCTTTTCCACCCACTCATGTTCACTGGTTACTCAATTTTAATGAGGAACTTGAAAACTAAAAAAATATGCTCAATGTACAATTACTCTCATCAGATGTTGTCAGTGCTGTGGTTTAAAGCCTGCTATTGCTACATTTTTGACAGTTACGTCTCTGTCTTTTCTCTCATTTAAAAGTAGAATCCATTCTTGATCAGAATCACTTTCCATTTGATGATGTAAGTTATACTGTATGGTGATAATGACATACTTTAATTTTGTGTTTCAGGGGGTTTGCTCTTGTAGGGCCTTTCGTGGTTATGATCTATCAGATGTTAAGGAGAGATTTCATCATTTTCTTCATTATTTATATGATTTTTGTAATTGGATTTTCTCAAGGTGAGGTAGATTTGTTAGTTATGTCATTATTCAATTCAATTTTCAGCCTCAGTCGCATTGTACTTTCTGAGATTCTGCAAATTTGCTAGCTTTTCTATTTTAATGAGGTTATTATCTTGTTGGTAAAGGTTTCTGCCATAGTAATGTTTTGCTCTCAAATAGTCTCCCTCATAAAGTTATACAAGCAGGATCTCTGAATTTTTAGGTATTCTTTATGTTAACAATTTTTTTAACACTTAGAAGCCTGACATTATGGAATACTAGTATTTTGTTAGTTAATAAATTAAAATTAATATAATACTAGTAAATAGATTTTGACAATTTATGACATTGTTTTGTATGTTTTGTCTCAAATCTGACTGATTGCGAAGGCAAATAAATGAAAATTACAACTACACATAACTACAATAACCGTATAATGCTGTGAAAAATGATTAGATAACTGCAACCTCATCTCCCTGGGGTTTTTTTTAATTTTCTTTTAGGCTGGTTTGCGAGAAAGTTTTGGTGTTGATTTGGTATTGTCTACATTTTGTTTTCTTTAGCCATGTTTTTGGTGACGCTTGGGTATGACGACAAATCCGTCCAGGAAAATCTCTTTACACGCTGGTTTTCTGCCGGTCTTGGACTCGTAATTCTTTCATTAGGAGAATATGAGGTATGCTCTGAACCGTAGGTGCACCTATGTTATTAGTGGAACAGGTCGGTAAAACGTGTAGGAAAGACAGTATTGAATGAATTCTCATTGAGCCGTTGTCAATTGAGTTTCGAAAGTAATCCATGATTGCTTTGTTCTTGCTTAACTTCGCTCTGTTAATGGTCCAGAAAACTCGCGCCACCTTCTCAACCAATCAGATTGAAAACTTACCGGTATACCAATCGTGATTGGTCACTCGTGTTTTCCCGCGTTTCATGCAGTTTGCCTGTTGTTACTGGGAGTTCTAATTGGCTAGTGATGATGTCAACCTTCGCTGCAATTGGCTGTCTTGATTACTTTGGTTTTTCGAAACTCAAGTGAGAACTGTGAGATCATTTGTACACAGGTTGAGCTCCTCTGAACAGGTAAATCTGAAAGTCTTTCAAGCTCTTCTGTGATGGTATACTTCAAGATATAGAACATGAGGAGAATATCTTAGAAAATGTGTCCCTTCCTATGAAGTCCTTGTCAGTAAATAATGTGACATTTGCTTTAAGATATTTTTCTATTTCAATCTCTTGCTAGGCATTTTTCCAGTAATTCACCAATTTTTCAGTATTTTTCATCAATGATCATGCGCTTGTAAAAAAATTGATTCCTTTGCCCTGTGTGTTCCGCTTTTTTTTTTTTTTATCTAATTGGGCAATGTGGTATCATCATAACGTTCATAACAGGCCTACATTTATAACATGTAGTCTCACAATTTTTCAATTTCAGGAGTTGTATGAACAAGTGGCACACAGTAACTCGCCGTTTAAGATTCTGGGTTTGGTAAGAAACCTCCATCCTTTTCCATTGACATGAGGATTCATTTTCGTATCTGGGGGTATTCAGTTGGAGGGAAAAAGTGATCCAGGCTTTCATTAGTTTTGTTGCATTGGAGAACTTTTAAAAAACTCCCTTCATACTTGAGATGCAAAACTTAAACCATTAGCAGCCAGCTTGTTCACTTGTCCCTTTCTCGAGGGCTGTCACATGAATTTGTTTTGAGTTCCTTGGCTTCTTGTTGTTATAACCTTAGTTCTGATTGGCCGGTATCGATTAGTTATGGTTTTATGACATTCCCTCGAAATGTTTTCTGTTGCTATTGTTCTGAACTCGTAAACTGGTTGCTTACTTGTTCCTTTTTTTCCTGCAGATCATGTTTTTTCTGTTTATGATCCTCGGAGCCTTGTTGATTGTGAACATGTTGATTGCTATGATGGGAAACACGTACCTTAAAGTTGCAGAAACCGAAAAGGAATGGACACGACAGGTAAATGAAATGAACTTTTCCCGCCGCAAGATTTTATCAATTTCTTCACTTCATTTTAGAAAAATTTTCAATAGAGTGTCAGAAGTAATCTGGGATTGCTGTAAATTTGCTTTCTTCCGTTTTATGATTGGTCCAGAAAACTTGCACCACTTTCTCAACCAATCAGATTCAAAACTAAAACCCATCGCGACTTGGTCACCCGCGTTTTCCCGCGCTTCAGGCAGTGTGCTTGTTTTTACTTCGAGTTATCATTGGCTACTGTGATATTTCCCTTGCTATGATTGGCTGTAATGATTGCTTTGGTTTTGTGTTACGACAATCAGTTGAAAAGTGCTCCACTGATTTACTCTATATGATTAACTAAAATGGTATTTTTTTCTCTTAGTGGGCTCGTATCGTACTTGCCGTAGAGCGCATGCTCACCCCGAAACAAAGGCTCGCTGCACAGAAGCTGTACTCACAGAGCGTGGGTACTAACGAGGAAAGAGCACTGATCATGAGGCTGCGGAAACATGAAGATCACCAACAGGTTAGTATGTTGACAGCTCTTCTTCAAGTTATAAAAAATAAATTTATGGAAGATAAATGAATGTTACTAAATGAAAGTTTACCTTTGGTCTTCTCAGAGTGAATATTGCGATGTACTTTGTACATTTTGTCGTATTTCAGGCGCTGTATTTGTCGATTTGAACTGATTTATTCATAACTTGCCGGTATCAAGCAGTTGTCCTGAAGATTTTATTACCTAGCCCTTCATGTGAGTCGCTCACCAATTTTCCTAAATTTGTTTCATGTTTCCCAGACCCAAGTTTCTAACGATCCAAAACAACGGGCAAAAGGCAAAGTCAAGGATTCCATACCACTGCCGAGGAAGGATTACGATTGGTTGGATACGAGTGTGTGAAGAAATCCTATTGGTTCGCTGTCACTGAATCGATTAATGGACACCACATGTAGTGAATTATTAACTCCCTGAGTCTCCTTGAGTCATGTGATCTCGTTATTATCCAAATGAGTGTATTCAGTAAACATTTTTCATGAGTTATTCATAATTCTTTACAAAGTTTTTTGAACTTTCACATTTGTAGCTTAACCTCATCGTAGAACACTTATTTAAGGCAGTTCGACCCAAGAAACATTTGTCAAAATTCTTTTTTGGTGCAAAAACACAATTTGATAAAATACAATGTGAACGTCTCCTCCTTCATTTAATAACCTTTGCAGGTAAATGAATCACGAATCAAAGTTATAGGAGTTTCTGTTTGTTCTACTAATGAATGTTTTTTCAAACACCAATGCATTTTGTAGTAGTTTGAGTATTTCTTGTGAAAATACTTGTACATTTATTTTATTACAAGTATCAGTCTCTCTTTTTACTTATTTCGCACAGTGGCTGGTCGTAAATACTTTCATAATTATTTGTAATTTTTAAAGAGACTGGGTTCGTCTTCATCGTATCGAACGGTTTACAAATAGTAGTTTTAAGTTTCATTGATTCTGAAAGTTAAAACGCACGGTTGGTAAGGGAAAAAGGTTGCCCTTCCAAACAGAATATTTGTTATATGTGGATTTGAACTGAAGTATTTGAAATTGTTGAAATGCGGAAATTTCATGCACGAAATATGATGCAATTGGTAGGATCTTTTTCAAAAGAAACCTAGTGAACGTTATTTATCAGCAATCGTGTAATTTATTTAGACGATATTTTTTGAAATTTTGTTCAGTAACGTATAAAAACAAGACGCAAGTAGGACAACAGATAACAATTTCGTCATATTCTCATATTCTCATGGACATCGAGGAGCAGGTTATTTTGGCTGGCCGAGATACTACCCATAAAGTCGCAATACACTATAATGAAACATAAGTGGTGTAATAGATATGAGATATGATAATTATTGCCTCGAAGGCACGGTATTATTTGTTCTGTGACCATTAAGTTGAAACTGTGTATGAACCTTAGTAGCCGGACCCAATTATTTACTTAAGAAGGGTGCGCAGGACAAGTACAAAAACGATTCTTTCAAAACTTTTCTTTATTTTTCGAGTCAGAACGCGAAACTCTTCATTCTTCACCCATCGAAAAACGCGACTTGTTTTTCTTCGGTTCTATTTTTTTTTAAGTTTAAGTCTAAAGTTAGAGTTTACGTAGTAAGAATCTCCCGTCAACCCGTTCAGCTGTACACAAGTCGGGTTGCATTTCTATAGCATTGCAATGTTAAAGGATATTTATTGCCTCCGAGGCACAGTATTATTTATTAGTACGCCTTAGCTTAGTGTTTTTACAACAGAAAATAAAGATTTCTGCGACCACAATGTTTTGACTGGTTAACTTTTTTTTTCAAATTGAAGTGTTTGTGGTAGGATTTTTGGTATAAATAAAATAAAAAAGTGATGCTGTGTAGGAATTCAGTGCCTTAATTTTGTTTCCTTATCGTGTAGGGCCAACTGAAAACGTGACTCGGAATGTCAACAGCGTTGAAAACTAAGAACAAAATTGGTCAAAGTGAAGGAAATTATCATAAGATTATCACTGAATTCCCAACTCTGACGTAAATGCTATAGTAAGCGCCTCCTCCCCCCCGGGTTTGGTTATTTCCTGTTCTTCTAGACGGGGGACGCTTATGAAAGGCTTACTAGAGAGAGGTGGGTACATAATTGAGTGCGAAAAATGTTAGAAAGGGTATTTATTTGCATGAAAAAAGAGCATGGAAATTTCAATGTTTGCAGACGTATCCAGATTAGCTCTTCATCAGTGGGACAGTGAATGGCTGAGCAGTAAATGTGTAGAACCTTCACCTGGGAGTGTTTCTTCTCATGATCGGAACCCTTTTTTTAAAACGCCTATAGTAACAGTGATACGAGGAAAGAGGAAATTTTTTAGTTAATTTTTAATGATCAACTATTTCATTTGCGCTGTTTCTGAAACGAACACTTCGCGGGTGAGTTTAGGCAAGAAATTAGGCTTGTGAGCTGTCATGGTTTCCAAACAGGCCACTCAACCACTGACCATACTCTAGTCCTGTGTCTAAAGAGAAAGAATTGATTTAGGTGTACCAGGTCGGCGCTGTTAACCAACATGGCCAACCCAATTATTACACGAACCCCGGATATTGCAAGTTGCCATGTGAGGCAGATAGACGTTCCTGCAATTTTAATTGTTTACGTTTAATGGTTCCTTTCGTTGGTTAAGACCTACATTGTGTCTAGACATGCGCAATAACAGCGAAATAGATGCGAGATAATTACGTCACCACAGAAGCACACGCCATATTTGAAGATCATGCTCCGGTTTTTCGAAGAGTGGATAACCCTATCCACTGGATAAACCTCTATCCGGTGGACAGCGCGGTACGTTTCGGTGACACTTATCTACTGGATAGTGATTGATCTGTTGGATAGCGTTCTCTGCCCTTTGAACAACTAGGCACCAGGATTTTCTTTTCCGTGGTGATAGGGGGAAAAAGCGCCTCATATATCTGCAACCACTCTGTTGCATACAATACGAGTACGCCGCACAGTGTTACACCATAACAATTCATATTAACAAACCAAGCAATCAAAACAGAAGACTGTTCCACAAAGTCTCGTAAATATAGCACTTTTGCTTCTCTTTCGGGAGCCACCTTAACAGCCTCGTGTTCAAAATACTCTGAAGTAAGATATGCAATCATGTAGCCAATCGGGGTGTACTCTCACCTTTAACGAGAAATAACTCCAGATTCTGCCTTTTTTATGAGAGATCTGTCTATCAGAGATATTTATCATGCTATTCAACCGCAAAATACATACAGAGCAAGGTAGAAAGCATGATCGGAGGCTATATTTAAATACGTTTTGTTTTTAAAATTCTTTCTATGGACTTGAAAAATTCACGGAAATATCCAGTGTTGGCTCACGTAATATTGTCGGGCCGGCCAATAACTGATCCATAACCGAAACTTCGACCCTATCAATGTGCCGAGGAAATCGAGTAAACTGGATTTTTTTTGCACGTAACGTTACACATATCTCAACATGAACTGGAAAAAGGTTTGAGAAACCCTCAAGATTGAAAAGGATGTACGGTTGTCGGGAGAGTTTTGGACGTCTCAGTTTGATCGGAAATATTTTCTTTCAGTCAACACCTGAAATAAAGCTATGACCAGCAAAGCAATTTTGCACGACTCCGCAAGTGTCTTCATTCTGTCTTGTTGGCAGCATGGGAACGTTCACGTCAGGCTATATTTTTAAGCTCTTTGACTTACACCTGTATCGGTAGCCCTTGATTCGAAGTAAATTATTTCACGCTTGAGCCCGCAGCCTACAGGGCTATTTACATACGGCAGTCATACCGCATTAACTGTGCCATCGTGACACAGTTATCATTTCCAGTATATTAATAACTTATGCACATGGCACCCTTTATTGAAGTTTAGTGACCCTTTCGCTGAGCTTAGTCTCCTTCGCAGTCGTTTTTTTGGATGTCACGCAACGCTTCCCGTTATTTCCTGTGCACGGGACAATTGTTAAAAAAATCATTCTTTTGAAGACCAAGCTCATTTGATATCGTTCCTAGAATTATCTCAAGGAAATATCTCTGTTTCATATTCAGTTTATTTAGTGATGCCATATCAAAGTTCTTGGGAAAAATAACAATGACAATAAGATTCCTCGCGTCAACTTCAGGACCGTTAGCGCGCGTTCTAAAGGTCGTGCATGACGCGCGCGAAAACATCATAATGCAAAGTAAGATGACATCATAAACAGTTTTTGCTCCATGAGGATTTCAAGGCTATAGTCTTTGAGGAGAAGTAAAAGCATTTAGTGATTTTATTCGGAAAAAATTCAGTTCTAAGGTATCATGAATCCTGAAATAAGGAGAAAAAGAAAATTTTCTGTCACCTGCCAGCCCTCGCAATCATCGTGTGGCCAGCAAAAAGGAGAATGTTCTGCCGCGTGTAAGCCGGCAAAGACCAGAAGAATTTTCGCTGACTCTAAGGTTAGAACTCTCCCTCAGTTTTCGTTTGTTCTTCTCCATTTGTTTTGGGTAAGTCTGCTTTAAAAGCTGTACACCTTTAGTAAAATATGCTTTCCTTTTAAATTTTGCAGTCGAGCTTGATCGGAAAAAGTAAATCCGAAAACCCCCGGAAAAGGTAGAGAATTTATCTGTTTATCAATTGAGAATTGTTAGCTTTGAACCAAAGGCAGTTCAGCTTAATGACGATGTTTGTCTCCACAGAGCCTGGACAGAGCCTGATTTCAAGAAGCTCTTTACGGCGAAAAGAAAGAAGATTTGCTTGTCGACTCCAGAATCAGTCGTAAGTTTTTTTCGAGTTCATTGCGAGTTCAGAACGCGGTGTGACTGTAACAAAGTATATACAAAAGCAAGCATATAAAACGTCACAATACTTTCTTCTCCACTTGTATACTGAAAATTCTGATAATTTCATTATTTCCTCTTCCTAGGAGAAAGCTAAAGTTGAAACTGAGACAAAAGAGAAGCATATTACCGAGATTGAGACTTCAACGAGTTGTTGCAAGCCGGAGCCGATCCGACACAAAAAGACACGAAGAGGTATGAACACGGAAATTGTAAATAAAATTGAACGTCGGTCGTTTCGCAAACGAGTCGTTTCGCCAACGGTCGTTTTGCAAACGTCTCTAGTCAGTTCGCAAACGTTTAGAAGTCATTTTGCAAACGTTATAAACATTTATATGTGTAGGAGTCAGTTCACACACTTTGTAGATTTGAGACAATGTAGTATTCTGAATCGTATAGTTAAACCCAGGTTGACATGTAAATGTTTATAACGTTTGCGAACTGACAAGAGACGTTTGCGAAACTACCGTTGGCGAAACGACTAGTTGGCGAAACGACCGGTTACCGTAAAATTCATAGTCGTCTGATTCAAGATGGTCGTTGATTCAGGCGAGGAAATGTTTACGGGTTAATGCGATAGTTTCTTCATTTCTCATCGCATGTTTTGGCTATTTGGTGTATTTTAAAAAATGAGAGGCTGCATGTAAGAAATTAAAACGGAAGTGGAGAAATAATGAGACCAACAAAAGGTTGGAGAACAGTTTCCTATCTTAACTTGGAAGAGAGGAAGTCCGAGGATATAACCGATCTTAAATTTTGTATGATTTTTCAGGAAAGCGTAAACCTCGCCCTAAAGGTCTTGCAGCATATGAGATGGGAAAACCTTTGGGCTCCGGCGGATTTGGAGAAGTTTTCGCCGCCAGACGAAAAAAGGACAACCTGCCGGTAAGCATCAATAAACCGTTAATTTATAACTTCTATCGTGTGGTTTTTAGTGATGCTAATTACAGCTTACCTTGCCATAAACTCTGAAATAAATTGCATCGTAAGCCACCAGGGGTGCAGAGCTAAGGGAGGGGGGGGGGAAGGGAGGGGGGAGGGAAGTGAATTAGACCACCACCCTTGTGATTAATTATAAAGACAATACTCATTAAACTAAGTGGAGCCTACTGTTGTTGTGTGGCGGAAACATTTTAAAATACGAGAAAACCACAATGGAGATACCAAAGTGATAGGTTTTAATTTTCCATCTTAAATCTTGCAGGTGGCTATCAAGTTCGTGAACAAGAGCAGGGTCAAGAACTACAGAGAGGTAAGTACAACCTGAAAATTCTCTTCCGCCAGTCTCTGTGGTCACGGGTAACGAATAAGGCTGAATTAATTTTCCTTCGGTTGCCTTGAAATAAAATTGCAAAATTAAGTGATAAAAGTATCGATCAAATTAGGAGCTATAGAGATTGACTGATTTATCCCGTCTTTTCTTTTCCTTGTTTGTTTAATCAAAAAATAAATAACTTTCATTAACTTAAATCTTCCCGACCCATCTCTCCTAAACAGATAAACGGAAAACAGTTCCCAGCCGAAGCTTACTTTCAGCGCCACGTTCGGCACCCGAACGTGATTCAACTACTGGATATCTTCACCAACGGAGATAACTTCGTGTTCGTGCTCGAACGTCCCGAAGATTCAGCGGACTTGTTCGACTACATTGACGCATGTGAAGGGCTGATTGAAGACGAAGGTCGAGAACTCTTTTCTCAAATTCTGGAGGCAGCGATACAATGCGAAGAACAGGGTGTGCTACACCAGGACATCAAGCCAGAAAATGTCATCATAGATATGAACAAAATGGAAGCCAAGCTGACTGATTTCGGTCTCGCTTGTGACGCACAGGACCAACCCTTCAGGCAATTCGTAGGTAAGTATTTTAGTGAATGGCAGGTTTAAAGCAGACACTCTTATACGACGTAAACTTTCGTATAAGATTCGTTAAGTTCGTACGAGGAGGCCCTTGTTAATAGCACTGCAGGACGTATGTTTTTCCACCCGAGAGAGGATTTGAGATGAGTCGGGAAGAGCTTGGCCGGGGGTCTGAATTTAACAATTATCAGTCCCAGCCGACGCGCGTTGGTCAAGGCCTCATACTTTCCCCGCGAGCGAAGAAACGAAGAAACGAAGAAACGAAGAAACGAAGAAACGAAGAAACGAAGAAACGAAGAAACGAAGAAACGAAGAAACGAAGAAACGAAGAAACGAAGAAACGAAGAAACGAAGAAACGAAGAAACGAAGAAACGAAGAAACGAAGAAACGAAGAAACGAAGAAACGAAGAAACGAAGAAACGAAGAAACGAAGAAACGAAGAAACGAAGAAACGAAGAAACGAAGAAAGCGAAGAAACGAAGAAACGAAGAAAGAAACGAAGAAACGAAGAACGCGGGCGAAGAAACGCTTGTGTCGAAGCGCTGATAACGAGGGCCTGCTTGCTGGCTAACGATGAATTAAGTAATTAAACGGGGTTGGCCTGTGGCAAGAGAAAAATATTTAAAGGCTGTTTTAAAGCCGTCTGATCCTTTATCCGATCATTTATTTATGTACTTATCTCAATAAATTACTTCCACTTATTTCTTTATTTTTTCTTCCCATTCGCTTTCCAGGCACTCAGCATTATTGTCCCCCTGAGTTCTACTCCCATCGTTGTTTCCATGGCAGCCACGCTACTGTTTGGCAACTTGGCTTCTTATTGGCTGAGATGCTGTCGAATGAGATGCCATACGTCAAGCCACGCATGGCCCTGTACATGCATCCTTCTGTTCCTAAATTTGTCTCCAACGGTAAGAACTTTGGAACAAACGATACTGTTGGAGATAAGGAGATAATTATCAAATGAAACAATGAGGATTATTCCTGAGGGATATTTAAATAACCTCTGTTTAAGACAAGTTTCGCCCACAGTCCCCTTTCATTTTTCATCATCAGAATAATGGAAATTGTAAGAACAAGACCATCTTTAAATGTGGCAGTAAATGTCGGGTCAGATAAGATTAAATTCAGTGGTCCAGCCAGAAAGAATGCTGCAACCTAAACGAAAAAATACTGACCTATACTGAATGTCATCCGCTACAATGCAAATTCATTTAAGCATTTTCCCATTAGATTGATCGGGACGTAAATATATTTTTTTTCAGAGGCTCGGAATTTGATTTCATGGATGTTGTCGCGAGATCCAGATGCGCGCCCCACATTACAACAGATCAGGTGCCATCCGTGGGTCAGCAAACCTCGCCACCACTGAAGGGGGCGCATGCCAGCGGCCTACCATCAGCCGCGCATGTGCTGGAAAGGCTGGAACCTGTGAAAATGCTTCCTGAAGATCAGAGCACTTTTCTTTTACTTACGTGCTTGTAGTTGAAGGAAGCACTTATCCCGGAATAATAAAACAGGTTCCAAGCCTTCAGTGAAGTGAGATCAACTCTATTCTTCTCTATTCTCTGGAGCGAAACTATAGAAACTCAGGGTCTGAGTTCTTAGCCTCAGGAACGTAGAGATCAGTGCCGTTGGTGACGGTTTAAAAGTGTTTAAAGTCACTATAGCTAGACATGAGCAATCATCCGTTTATCACAAGGAAGCAACGGATCACTGCAGCCATACAACTGAACTTGTCACATGTCCATCAAAAGCTCATCACTTGATGGGTTCCTACTAGAATTTTATGACCACGAATTCTAGAACTTTTAATCATGCACTTAATTGCGGCTGTTGTATTAATGAATAAGACAGTCACCCCTAACGAGGAAGCCACCATTTTTTTAGACTGATATTTAGGTTTTAAACAATTTATTCCTCACGAAACATAAGTTTTGCAAATTAAAGTGCAAATTACATATCATTTATAGTAGTTACAGATGTGTTGAATTAAATTCAGTTTTTTTTTAGTCCGTGTGTTTGTTATATGATAAGTACTTGAAATCATCTGCGACCGGCCTGGACATGAACAAAGAAACTTAGAAGAGTGAAAATTTTCCTTTCGCGCAGAAAGTGTTACAACAACAAGTTAATGCTTTCACCAATGCTCCTTTTCTAATATTCGAGAAAGCCTACTCTCTAAACACATATTGTGGGGTTTAAAAAGCGCGCGAATTTTCTTTTGTGAAGAAGTGGCCAACGCCAAACACTTTTTGATGATAATATTATGCAAAATTGATATTCGAAATGGACTCAACGTGGGAATTTTTTTCCTTCGTCAAGCCACGTTGCGTTTCAACTTTCAAGGACGCCGTGGATTGGAAAGGTTTTTTGCAATGTTTGAAGGAATTATGAGCAGCGAATACAGAAAATGAAGTTAAAGATGGTAGCCTTGAGGTAAGTTTTCAAAAGATTTATTTGAGGACTATCTCGGTGCCAAGAAGAGTCGTGTAATGTCTTGCCATCCGAAATTTGTTTCCCTGAGTTGGTCTGGCGCGAGACCTTCATAGCGCCGCATTTTATGGTCTTGTTGTTTATCTAGAGCTCCATCAGGGTGTAAAACTGCTCTGTAAAGTAGTTTGAATCGAGTAGAAAGCAAAAGATGGGTGTACAGTAGACTTAGGAACAATATTTCTTTCGGAACCCCGTACCCAATTATGCATCAAGGTCTTTGTTCAAAGAAAACAATGGTAAAAAATGTCATGGAGTTTACCTTCAGTTATCAGTCTGAACCCAGTAAGTCTGGTCTGCATTTTTATCAAAATACCTAAACCTGGAGTTAGTGAATATCTAGAATTAATGAAAAAGGCCAGACAAAAAAGCCCATATTGATTAACATCATACTTGCATCGATCTCAGTATGATTAAAGTGACTTGACGTTGTTCTTTCACTTTGATGAAGCCATGCTACTTGTTTGTACTTGTTTCTGGTAACTCACTGGTTTCAAAGAAATACTTGGTCAATGTTAGTGTTATGACCATTCCTATGTCGTACGAAATTATCATAGCAACGGCCTAGCGTGTTAAGCACTTATGTGCTCTCATAAACTGAAGTCCCAAAGTTGAAATGAGGTCGGTGATCCCTAATTTTTGTTACAGAGTATTAGCTTAGTCATTGCTTGCGTACGATTAAGGACACTAAGATTGTCAAAGTGAAATGTGGTGCCTCTGAATAGCTTCTCTATTCAGACACTGAAATGGTCAATACTGAATTACGGAGAAATTTACCATTGAGTTTTGAAAGTAAAACGGGATTGCATTGGTTTTGCTTGACTTTGCATGCGATTGGTTCAAAAAACTCGCACCATTTCTCTACCAATCAAATGCAAAACTAACAACAATCTGGACTTGGTCGCCCGCGTTTTCCCGCGCTTTCCCGCGCTTTTGGTTGCGTCTGCTTAAGTTCCCATTGGCTCGTCAGGGCATTTTCCTTCCTTCTGATTGGCCGTTGTTATTAATTTAGTTTTATTTTACGGCACTTGATCGAAAAGCTCTCTCAAAAGTATACTATCATAACAATATATTTGCATGTATTAACGATATCTTTCTCTTTTTCCCGCTTTAGAGGAGAGTGAAAAAATAGAATGAGAATGTTCTAAATATCAAGAGATAAAAGGAAGAAAAAAGAGTTGGAATCCCTCTTACAAGGTTAGTTGTGTCGTTTTTTTTTAATCCAAAGGAAACCTCCAATGGTAGAACACATTCACGTCAAAATGTTGAAAATTTCTTGTATCATGAAGATGCATTTGAAAAATTGGCAAACTAGAATCGAATTGTATTAAAAATACAACTAATATCAATGACTGAGCTTCCCGGAAAGACCCATTTAAGCTCTTTTGACGTTAAAAGGCTGCCAGTATTAGAGTAACTTTTTGAATTTGAGTGTCGAAAGTTACTAGTATTACTTTATTTTTGCTTTACTCTGCTCTGTGATTTGTCTACAAAACTCGCGCCATCCTTTTAACAAATCAGATTCGAAATTAAAACCAATCGCGACTTGGCCACTTGTGTTTTCTCGCGCTTCAGGAAGTTTGCTTGTTTTTACTTAAGTTATCATTGGCTACTAGTGATATTTTCCTTGCTGTGATTGGCTGTTGTTTTCTCTGCTTTTAATTTATGACACTTAATCGAAATGCGCTCTCTCATCAGACGATAGTTCTTTTGTTCGCACAAGTCCCAAAGGGATCATTCAGATCATAGTGGCAACTATAGCAAGCAAGTCATAGTATTTAACGTTGCAACAGAAACACAATTCCAGTTTGAAAACGGGTGATATCGGTTTCGATTTTTTTTTTCACTCTAAGTGTTTCATTCCCAATATGACAACAAATTTTGACTTTAGAGATAATTTTTGATCATATTACGACATGTTTTCAAGCTGCGTGTAACTGGTCTGATTTGAATTATTAAACCTGGACTTAGTGAATCTCAAGACAAAACCAGACAAAGTATACATGAAAGAAAATTACAAATAATTATAATTTCTTCAATGTCTGATTATTCGATTCTCTCTCTGATTGAGGTGCTTTTTTTAATAGTTTACATTACATTTAGTTCTATGAATCGATACTACTATTTTGTTTCTGTATAAAGGTCCTGTTATTGTGATCAAATGTTTTACTCTTTCTGACCAAAACCTCGAAGTTTTGCCAACTATGAAATGTCTTGGCTTCGGAGACTAAAATCAAACACAAAGAATACACAAGACTTAAAATTAATTATTAGATTTCTGCATGATCAGTTTATCTCTCTGATTTTCCTAAATGAGAACTTTCCAATGTGCCTAAATGTCAAATTTCGTTGTCCTTGAACCTGAGAAAAAAATTAAGTCGTTTTTTTTTAATCTTTCATTCGTTTCATGCCTTGGTAAATACGAACCTTTTTCTATAATTTATCGAGACTTCGCAGTTAATAAGACTGAAGTCAAGGCAGATATCGCCCATGGATCAATAGAATTGATAATTCTTAATTATTTCCAAGAATTCTTTCCTATTTATGCAAGGTTAAACTGTTTATGGTCTGATGTCTTTAAACACTTTTTATCAAACTGAGAAAAACCTTGGAACTTAAAAATTTGACATTCCTCAGGTGTTTTTATAGAGTTCGTGGTGTACGTTTCTGAAGTGTTGGTCTTTTTGTATAGTTTATTACAATATCGAGGCTAAAAAGCTGAATTGTTTAAAAATATAAGACCAAAAAAAATGTTTCCTAAAAAGTTTCTAAGAACTCTTTTTTAAATCTCTGAGAGGTTTAATGTGATAACGCAGCACTAGCCATTTTCTTCTACATCCTTACAAGGTCTTATCAATCTATTCAATGAAAGCCAAGGTGCATAACTGTAAAAAATTTTAGCTCTTGGCGCAAAAATTATGTATGATACTCTTTGTGTAAAGATCAAAGTTGAAACTTTGTCACTTAAAACCTTGGATCCTGATCGTTAAATTTCTTAGCTTTTGGGGTTCAATCCAGAGTAAGTATGCTCCGAGAATTGAAAGTTACACTTTTATAAAATGATCCTTTTTAAAATCTTTCTTAAGCTCGATAGTCTTACATACTTCTCAATTTCTCTGCTAGGATTTTGATAAGTTCATTACTGTGATAATGATAAACATGTAATATACATGTTTACCCTTCATAATATTTCTTAATACATTTCCTATGGTATAAACAAGAAGAGTTTTGTTAACGATCAAGAGCTCCGAATTCTTAGTAGGCGTTCACTACCTTTTCTTGTGACCTCAATGTTTTATTCAGGGGTGATATTGTGAAGAGAAATTAGATGCTAGTCACTCTTTGGGATTATAGAGTTAAACCTGAATTTTGTCGGGTGTCATTTAAGGCTGACTTTGAAAAAAAAAATCAATAAAAATTTGATGGATGAATCAATACTATCATTATTGATATTAAAACACTGAAGTGATAGCCTGGTCACATCAAGTCGAGATGTTATAATAATTCATGTAAACTGACAGGTTACCATGGAAATGCTTTAGCCCTCGGAATACTCTTTTATTTTAAAACTGACTTTAAAACAAATGTCGTCAGAGGAATAGTTTGCAGCTTTTCATTCTTGACCACAGTCGTCCAGGGGCTGCATAGTTCACTGCTGTGCATTTATTTATGAAATTTCACGTATGTATTTAGAATTATGTTTTGTTAGTGCAAATAAAACCTTGCAGAAATATTTGGTTCCTGTGAAGTTGTTGGATTTCCCGAATTTAAACAAGAACGCGGAATTTCTTGGCTTAAAGTTTAACATAGACTCTGCTGATGATAGGCTATGTAATTGCAACCACCGAAAAATGTATTCATCGACTATTTTATTTGAAT